TGTGATCTTGGTGTGGTCTGTCGTAGATCTAGATATGTCTCTCGTACGTGCTTGATATGGCCATATCACGCCGTAATATTAATTAGGTTTCGAAATATATGATGAAATCATACCTATTTCGAGTAAAATGAAAGAAAATGAAAGAATTATGATTGTCAGTATGTTGGCAAGCCCCCCCTGTAATACGCGAATTAGTCGTCTCTATCAAGATAGATTAGATTAATCGTGGATTACCTATATTCCGCTGTAGTTCGGCCGGAGCGTATGGGCCTTGAGGAGCGATTCCAAACAATAGTCTGCTAAAGACTATGTTTGGGGAACTACCAGTGAATATATAGTCTCAGCTTCATGCTTTGAGCGAAAGTCACGCTGGCGCTGTCTGCCGCCAATCGTGGGCTTCAGTTTCAGTTCGCTTGCGAGGCGCAAGCGCTACCACGCTAGAGACGCTTGGTTTTTTTGCACAGCGTCGCTTAACGATGACGTCAAACTTCTATGGTAGTTTGGGCGCGCAGTTGTTTGGTGCGAACTACAATGCGAGCGTCCTTTCCAGCAACAACAAGCGTTCTGCTGACATCGATGAAGAACCGCGTGCGTATCCGGGTGCCGCGTCTTCTTCATCATCTTCTTCTTCTTCTTGCGTCCGGAGTGGGCCGAAGGTAGCCAGAATTGAGGAATGGCCGCAAACTTCTTCAAGCTCATCTTCATCTTCCTCAAAGTTGTTGCGGAGTGCACCATTGAAAAAGCCTGCACCTGAAACAGGAAGTGCTGAGGACATCATCAAAGCGCTCGGTGGTGATCCACTTGTCAATGGGAATGAAGATGATCCTTTCGATGATGGTGACGATGAGAAGGAGGGCGACGCACTGGCACTCGCGCCTCGCAAGAATCGCCGGAGGAAGCGAAAGGCGCAATATATTCCACCTGTTGCGCAAGCTGTGAATAATGCAGACTCACCGGGTGAGATGCCCACTATCGCAAGTCTTGCTGTAAAGTTGAGGATAAAAAAGCAACAGGCATACCCGTTCGGAGAGCGACTCTACATAGGAGTCCTGGCATTGAAGCTTGCTGCAGACGGGAAGGTATAGCCCTTCTATGTTTCTAGATCTACTATCTAAGTCATACGAGCTCGCATCGCTCGATAAATTCCTTATATGCAAGGACTCGCTTTCTCGGCAAGATTATGGTGACTCGGTGCATTCACGATATAACGACCAGGCTTAATTGAGTAAGAACCTAATGTCACAGACTAAGTGCTTTCGCTACCGTGCGTCCATCTACTTATCTTGAATACTTACTTTACACCCAGGGGCGTGGGCGGTTGCATGTTCCCTCGGCGGCGCGAATTATATTCCAGAATCCGCAGGTGGGACGGAAATACATAGACCTGGTGTCACGGTGCATGGAGATGGGCAGGAATGAGTTTTCTCATTCTGAGCGCAAGGATTTATTTCGGAGTTTTACTGCTGAGTCGATAAAAAGCGTCGTTGCTGAAAAATTTGGGAAAGCCGAAATTGAACGATTGCGGGCGCCAGGAGGTTTTACTAACTTTTATATCTAGTACGCACTTGCTTCTGATGTCGTTCTCTTTTCAATCAGGTTTACTATTTACTTAGATTTACTTCACACGAAAATCACTAGACTACCGTCGGCACCTGCCTCGATTGCCATCTATTTCTAAATAATCAGGTGGCCGAAAAGTTATCAATGCAGGACTACACGAAGACCTTTTCGACCTGTTCCTCCACCTCCGTACACTTGGCACGAAAACAATTATGGCAGGCGTTGCTGCATTGAGTGAGAATGAATTAGTCTGGGAGACGAGGCGTCTGATAATGGGAGGCTCCTGCTTAAAATTAGGCACTTACTTACTCTGGGTAGTGGTAGCTACTTCTGTTGAGCTTTATACAGTGCTCCGAACTAAGAAAACTGAAACCAAGTAGGCAAATGTAGTCAAGCACTGGGGCAACCACTTGAATGACCTTCATTGCGGCGTGCACGTTTATGATGCAGATTGCCATGGAGCTCGGAAAGCAAAAGCGCGACAAAGGAGAGAGCGTTCCGGTGATTACTCGGGACTGGGTGACGAGATGGGCTTTTAAGGATAAGGAGATGGATCATGATCAATATTGTTAACTGGCAGCTAGTGGCATAAGTGCTGTCGTTTGCGTGCCATAGGCCTTTATTTTTTTCCATTTGGCGTGGTCATGTTTTGTTAGTTTCAGAAGGTCAAGGAAGTGCTTGCTTGAGACTAAGTAGTTATTGCTTCTCTACCATGATGCCGGGCCGACTAAGAACTTACTTCTCGTCATCTCTAACCTAATGTCTTACGGCCTGGCACTGAGGATGCCAAATTCACGACCGAAACTCTCCGAGGAGGAAGCTGCGTCGCGGTAGCTGCTTACTTTTACAGAAACTCTTCCTAATATGAGATCGAGACTGTGGCAATTTTTATAGTAAAAAACTATTGACGAGTAATGATAAGCGTGTAGTCTGCATCTAAGTACTTACTTTTATAAATTGGCTTTGATTCGTCTTGAACGCGCGACATTTGCGTCTTGACTTGAGATCTTCGATTTGATCACAGAGTCTTATCAACGTGGAAGACCAGTTGGTCGGTGTTGACGTTTTTGCGACGACTCGGCTACGGGGTCCGTTATGGTGGGCTAATAGTACTGCGTCTACTACTTCGCTACCTTTACTTACTTATTTATTTGAACTCCTTGTGCGGATCAGGATCACACGAGTCTCAGCATCAGAATCTTCTTCGTCGTGAGTAAGTGCTCAGCGCTAGATATAGAGGTAGAGACTTCGGGGCGGCGGCATGTCGTCAATTCGTATTTTTCTAAATACTTAGGAAATAGAACTACTTACGCTGCATGCCTCTAACTCTCAATCAGAGCGCTCGACGAAAAGCCCCTATTCATGAACAGCACGAGTGAGGGCAAGATCCTGGCGCAGTCGGGTAGCCGGACGGTGACAGTCTGCGAGTTAAGGTCTGTCTTTGCTAATAGTGTGGCTGGAGTAAGTGCATTATCTAAGTACTTAGGCTGTTGCCCTCGCAGCTTGCCTCTGTTTCAACTGAAAAGCAGCGAGACGGGCCGTCTCTTTTTCGGATAAGGAGACTCATCGGCATCGTCTAACGTGTGCACATGGGCAGACGCGGAGTAGATACACGATGCTAACGCAGTGCGTGGACAGATTTCGTTATGTTGTGGATGAGCGAGCGTTTAGTCTTTCTTTTGTCACAGTATCCCCTAGCGCACGTTTTTCGAGTTCCCATATAGATACGCCTGATTTCTAGCGAGCAATGCTTTTGGGATCTAGTGGGTTTTCATTTGATGGAGGGCAAGTGCATCTAATCCATTCCGGGTCTGCCGTCTCCTCCGACTGTCGAGGTCTTGTTCCGCGGTGGTGACGGCGTACAAACGAAATTAGACGCCGCGAGGCAGGTAGTAGTTGGTGGCGGAGAGCTGCCGGACAGGGCCCTAGTAGTGAGGACGGGCCCAAAGGGCAGCTATACGCGCGAAATCTTTCAGACGTCGGTGGACCAGATGTTGGACCGGGATCCGCCAGCCGCTTCCGAAGTCGACTACTTTATCTGGGACCACTATCGCGGGCACATGATCGATCAAGAGCCACTGGTCGAGAAAGGTGGGCTGTATAGTTTTGTTGGCGCTGGCACGACAGACCGGATTCAGGTTTTATGCACTGAGTGAGCTCTCACAAAGGTCTGTAGGCACTTATTTAGCTACTGGCGTAGCTTGTTCCACAAAGTACTTACTTTTTTAGATATGGTTTCGGTTTCAAGTAGCTGCTCTCTCAGTGTCTTTTGAGTTTGTTTGTTTCGTAAGAACTCGAAGAAACTTGTTAGGGGGTTGACTTGAAGTGTAGCTCTTGGCGCAAGGGCAAGGGCTTTTGCTTCCTTAAGATAATCAGCATAGAGCTAGATAAGAAATTGAATTGCCATCGTCTTCCCCCACAGACTCTTCTAAAACGTAACGACACCGACTGCCACGGAGACCTGCAGCGCGAGTATCGCTTCGAGGAAGGAGCGGGGGACGGGGCGCAAATGCTTGCCGCTATAGCGCAAGGGGCAAAGAGCTGCCTTCCGATTACGACGCGAGAAGATGCGCTGCGAAGGGCTGCGCGAGTCTGGGGGCGCATGAACCATGGGAAGTACACCATAGGGTTCCGCTATGGAAGGCAGATTTTTATAGGTAACTAGATAAGTAGTTCATTTTCTTCGAGTGACCCGCCATTAACATCAACATGCATCTTGTGCCAGCATTTCACTTTCGTAGTTATTGGGCGCTCGAGTTAGAACTTCGCCTCCTCCTGGTGTTGCGATAGTTGCTTTATGTACTTACTGACCTTGTTGTTGTTCTAACATCGACGGAACGGATATGAGCCCGATGCCAACGCGGGAGAGGTCCGCTCCTCGTTGCAGGAGTGGTGGATGTCGAGTCTGGCTCTACGCAATAACATTGTTGGTGTGGCCTCAGTGGCTGCGGACGAGTTTCGAGGCGAAAACCCTCTAGCGACTAAGCAGGACGCGATTCGTTACTGCGTCACAAACTTCGTAGAGAAGTATAAGCCAGCGGGTGAGCCTGGGGCTGAGTTGGACCGCATTTTGGAGGACAACCATGAAGAATGGAGACAAGCTCGCAAAAAGCAGAAGGAGTTGCTGAAGTTCGCAAAGCAGCAACGCAGGATGGAGCGGAGAGAAGCTGCTTTGGAGGGTGGTACTGTGTTGGATACGGCGAGTTCTTCGAGCGAGTCGGATGATGGAACGTCCTCAGAGTCGGATGATGCGGATGACGATGCTCAAGGAGGCCTCGGTGGAGGAGGAGTTAGTGGCGGCGCTAATTCACATGCGTGTTCCGCTTTGAATTTGGCAGCAGCGTCGAGTGCAATGACTACCAGGCAGGAGCTAACACGCGAAGAGAAGCATGAAAAGCTGCAAACTGTGATGGACGGCTTGAAAGCTTTGGGTGAGCATGGGCAGGCAGATACCCTTCGCCTAAAAGTGAAGCGCGCGAAAGAGGCTCACCAGAACGAATCAATGCAACAGGCCGACAACGCACTTGCAGGGCAGGACGCCGACGGCTTTCCAGAAGCAGGGGACGCTGGCGCGGTCGCTCAGGGTGCACAGCGCAAAAGCCGTTCAGTATCACAGGCCTACGCGTCCTTCATGCAGAACATGGACCGAAAAACGGAAAATCTTCGTGGTGAAGCCGTAAAGCGAGCGCAGGAGAGGGAGGACAAGATCAAGTTTGAATCGCTGTACAAGAAGCTACAGGAGAGAGACAAGAAAATCGACGAGAGCGGTAGTGCATCAGTGGGAGCGGTGAAGATGGAGTTCCAGCCCCATCATTTTGCGGACATGGGCAACCTTCGTGATACCGTGTTGCAGCTTCTCAAGAGTGACCTCGTCCCGGGTACTGTTTTACCGCAAAAAGTCGCGTCATACTGCAGCGAGCGCTATCGCCTCGAGAGGGATAAGCGCGATCGGAAGAATGGAGCAAACGATCTTCCGGGATTCTGTTTTCTCTTGCGGCGACAGCTCTTGCCAATAGAGATTGCGGATGTGCGTGCATATTTTGCGGCAGTCGCAAATCTGATCCACGGAAGAGTCCGAAAGATGGGTAAGCAAGAACGCTTCGCCCATCTACAAGAGCTGATGCAGGGCCTCATCCAGTGGGAAGCGAAGAAACGGCAAGAAGCGCGCAGTGTCCTCCATTCTGTCGTGGCCGCAAGTGGCAGTGGAGCTGTGGCGTCGAAGGTGTTATCACTAATCAAATTCAAATGTTTATTGCTAAGTGCTTCAGAATACTTAAGTACTTACCTATATTGTCATGACTTCGTGTGTATTCGACCCAAGAGTAGATGCTGAAGATGAAGAACTCCTACTAATTTAAAGTTTAAACGTCAAACATTTAACTAGTACTTACATCAGGAACTCTACTTTTTTTTAAGTACTTGAATTATCAATCCACAGATCGACAGCGGGCTAGTGTCTTGCGGGTATAGTTCGGCAAAACCAAGTGAGCCGATTCAAACAGGGGCGCAAAGGAGCTTGCCTGCTCTAACGGACAACAACCGCCAGGGCCCGTATACCTCCAAGTCTAAGGTGGCCGAGCAGCATGGCAAAGGCGGCAGCTCGAAGTCTTCTAGTTCTTGTGTTAGCAAGGGGAAAACCGATAAGGGGGTGAGAAATGGAAAAGGAACAGACCAACGTCAGCCAGCGAGCTCAAGGACTTGTAGTTCCGTGCAACAACCTGAAACGAATCCGGCCGCGCGGAGTGGTTGCGGCAGCAGTAAAGGGAAAGCGTCAAGCTCTAAGTCGACGTCAAAATGTGCAGCAAGTGCAAGCGCAGCCTCATCGTCTAGGACAGCAGCAGCTCCGCCGGGACAGCCTCAAGCTCCCCACCATCCACATCAGACCTCATCTGCTGGACCGAGGTCGCCTGCACGACGACCTCTAACAGAGGAAGAGTGGGAAGCAATGGGACTGTAGAAGACGAGGTGGGCCGGTGAATGCTTTCAGCGAGGGGAGCTGTAGATAAGTACGTAAGTGCCTATGCCTATATTAACCAGTTACTTGATTTCTAGCGTTTTATAAGATCATCATTTGTTGAAGTCAAAGAATACCGTCAAGCAACTTCTTCATCAAGTAAGAGCAAAAGGAAGTTACACATGTAGAAATGATATGAAGCCTACTGTTACTAAACTAAGAATCTGCTTTCGTTTCCCACTTTCAATGATGTCGTACACATACTAAAAAGTAAGTACTTACATAGTTGTAGTTCAAGTACAAAGTTCTTCATCTTCATCCTAGTAAGTTCTTTGTTTTTCGATCCATTTGCATCTACCATCAAAGACGCGCTCTTTACTCAGTGTTGCAGCAGAGCTGTGCGGAGATAGAATTGGAGTCATAAACCCGCGATCATTTTCGATTAAGATTTAAGCACGCTTTCTGTTTCTACGAACTTCAGCTTAAGGCTAAGAAAGCCCGTCCCCCAATGCAGAACTTCAGTAAAGTAAAAAAGTAGTTTTAGTTTCGTTAAGTAGATGAATTACGAGTACATACTTTGTTTAGTCCCGCCTTTTCAAGTAGCTCCACAGTCAACGCCCAGTAAGTATCGTCTGCATTAAAATTTTAGCAGCAGCCTGCTATGCTTATGCTCTACTTGACTTCTGTTGTCTAAGTAGCATCAAGAAGCGTTTTCTCGAAATACGGGCTAGAGGGTAACCATGGAAGTGCACAAGATCACTATCGTTAGCGTTCCCTGCGCTAGAATATGGAGAAAGTAGCCACTTTCTTGTTTCGTCTTTTCTCGTTGCTAATTTTATCTCCTAGATATCGCTATGGAACCAATCGCACTTAGCTCTTCCATCAGTGTTTGCGTGTTTGTTAGCCCTAAGCTTTTACTAAGAAGCACTTACTTAGTCTTCTCGCAGAACTTACCGAAATATATGTCGTTCTCCTTCTCAAGTCGTAGCTTTATAGCTGAGCATCCATTAGAGTTGGCCCTTTGTGTATTAAGTATCTACTTATGGGCTTCAAGTGACCTCTTTCCATTATAAATATACGCTGAGTATGCACCTAAGGTCAAGAATCTGGTGCAGAAAGGGTTCCACTGGTTCACAACCAATTTCGGGAATAGCCTAGGTTTTCCGCAAGGGTCTCCTAACCCCATGACGCGACGTCGCGTCATGGGGTTAGGCTAGGTTCTCCGCTGACCACTAGGGAGGTGCCGCGCGGAAAACCTAGCCTATCCCCATGACGCGACGCCGCGTCATGGGGTTAGGAGACCCTCGCGGAAAACCTAGGCTATTCCCGAAATTGGCTATGAACCAAAAAAAGCGTTTCTGTGACCTGAGCAAACCCCTTAGGTGAGCCTTCAAGCCTCATTATATCCTTAGCATAAGGCCTTCGTATAAGACTGCTGAGAATGCCGCTGAGCTACTTATAGTAATCTGTAATCTCATATTGGTTCTGAAAAAATTTCTCCTAAACCCCGCGCGCGGCGCCGCGTCACGGGAATAGGAGGCCGGGCAGATTGAGAGACGAGTGCTTCCGTGTGCAGAGAGGCTCTGATATGTTTCTTTGATGAACGCAAATCAACGAGAGATCTCAGAGTTAGAAGCGTCGTCAAATTCAGCTATGTTTTTGGTCAGGAGGAGAGTGAGGGTGAGAGGCTGTTTTTTTGCAAGCAAAAAAGAAAGGCTAGTACTTTTCTCAGTTCATTATAGCCGTATAGTCTGCTTGTAGCTTTTTTTTCGATATCGATTGTTTCGCTGCATGAATATAATGGATCGCCATGACTTTTTTTTTGCGTGAGATATCGCTTGTTGTCGCTCCTCGTTGAATAAGGTGGAAGAGATTCGTTTTCGACGTGAACTTGAGAGAGCATCCTTGCTTTTTTCTGCTTCGTGATAATTCTTTTTTTCGGGGGGAAACCCATAGGCTTCATCTTCAACTCTTGGCCAAAGGGCTTTTTATGTGATATTGCTGGCGTCTAAGTAGCCTAAGCCTCTGGATTAAGAAAACCACTCAATCTTCAAAGAGTCTTGCCGATGCCACGTCCCCCATCCAAAAAAACCATAGAAAACAGAGAAAAGCACTAAGGTCGCCTAATAGCGCGCCCAGCTTACTTTTAACTGTCTCCAACCTCGTCTTTCAGATTTAGTCGTGTCTAACGAAACCGACTTTCTACTTACGTTTTCAATTATTTACTTCGATCCCGGATTCTCAGTATCAAGTTTAGCCTTGGAAGTAATCAACTATTTATAACAACAAGGTGTAGCTTCTGCTTCTCAAACCTACTTAGTAACTACATTGTCGCGAGCAATACTAGGAAGGAGGTCTTGATCTATTTATCGACGAACTGCCCAACGAAGCACAACTTATCTCGATTCACAGAACTACAACAAGTAAAACGTCCCTAGGTATTAGAAGCACTAGTAGTCTCATCTCCTATTCGAAGCAAGAAGCCGAAGCCAGTAGAGCAGAGCATCAAAGAACAAACATCTTCAAGCAGTTCAAGCATCAAGAACAAGCACAAGTGCGACACTACCCTACTACGAGAATGGATTCTTCTGATGTAGAAATGGCCCCTGTTGAGCAGGCGCCGCAAGTTGGCGGTGAACATGCAGCTGCGCCGGCCGCGCCAGCCGCTTTTGGACCACCAGTGCCTTTAATGGCTCCACCGCCGAAGGTCGAGGATCCGTGGGCTCACCTTGAGGCCATCGCCCGCGACTTGGACAAGAAGATGATGGAATTGGGCGAAGGATATATTGTCGCGGAGGATCCTGACAAGAAGATCAACGTGTTGAAGGACATCCGCAGACTTATTCCGAGGGTCAGTGAATACGACGACCTTGGCGCCTTGCCAACGCTGGCAAAAATCAATGCTCTTCGCGAGGCTGGCGCCCTCTATGAGCTGATGTTCCAGCTGAGGTAATTATACTTACTTATGAATCCACATCCACTTCGAAACTGTTATCTAGACATCTTATCCTTGTAGTCATAAAAGTACTAGCGCCGGCCCTGGTCCTGTTGTATAGTATGCACAGACCACTTCTCACCTACAAGATAGAAGTGCTCGTCTTTCATGATCAGGGTCAATATTGCCACCAATTGGAAAGTGAGCTCTTCTACCTTTTCTACTATCTCTATTCCAGATACGACGTCGAGTTGAATTCTTGGACGAATTCTGCGGCTGTCTGGGCATATGTGGCAAACTTGTTGACGAAGCCGAACCAGTTGCCGGTCGGGATCTATATTCCGCGACGCCACATGTCTGGCAGTTTGATGGAACGTGCACAAGATACGGAAAACGTGGGAGACTACAGCATGTTCTTCACCCCGAGTACTTACTTACTTACTTACTTATAGTAAATTCTTTTGCTTGGCTTTTTTATATTTGTCCATCTTTCCCAGTATGATTAAGTAAGTAGTCAGGACCTTCCTTTCATGTTCATGGAGTAGTTGCGTTTTTTTCTGAAGTGCATCTACATTCGACCTCGGCCTTTCTTCGGTGATATTCAGCATCATTGTCTTCCCTCAAACCCAGTTCGCGTTATTTGCCGCGTTTTTCTCGAAGAACAGAAGAAATTGTGTGCGGCTAAGGGGCAGGCCACCGTGTCTGCCAAGGACGTGGGAGCATCGATGAAAAAGAAGTTCAGATGCGCTGTGCCTGGTCGCGTGGTCAATGAGAACAACGCCCATCGCTGGCAGAAGTGCTGACTCTTTATTTTTGATCCTAGAGCAAGTTCTTAGTCTTATTGGCTGTTTTATTTTTTTCGACCGACATCTACCTAGAAGTCAAGTTATAGAAGTGCGCGCGCTTTCCGAAGTATCTCTCTTTATCCCCATCCGATACAGGTTGAACGCGAACCTATTTGATATCCATGGAAACGGTCAGTTGAAACCGTTATACGAGGCTTACGCACGATGCACCGAGAAATTTAAGGCCAGAGATTTTTTTATCATACTTAGCTAAGCAACTACTCTCCCTTGTAATCAAATTCAAAGCGTCTTGTTTCCCGTCGTGTTAGAACAGCTTCTCCAAGGCAGGCCGTCTTTGTTTGCGTTTTGAATCTCATCGTGCATGTTGTATCTTACAAGAAAGTCCTCTAATCAACACGCCGTCTGCATCAGCTGTCCGTTTGACGGCCTGCATGTGCTCGACGAGCTTCTCACCCATGCTGAGCCAAGAGTCTTGATTGACCTGTTCAACACGTTCGAGGATATCGATGCGAAGGCCAAGAAGGCCCACGAACAGAGCCAAGCAGAAGGCAAGAGACGCAGAACCGACTTCAAGTGGACCGCAGCGATGCTCTTGAAAGAGTGCCAGCTCATTCGTCGTATCTACTTATATTTTCTTTCTTTGTTTACTCACCTATGTTTTAGTGGGTTTGATTCTTAGCGGATGCATTTATATCTTATGGTCAGTCTATCTTCTTGTGACGCCTCTGAGATATTGATATAGGCACTTCAAGCCCCTCCTCTCTGTTCGATCGCTGGTCATCCCTCCTCTCGATGGAATCAACAACAGCAGTCTTTTCACTCTAATCAAACAGTGCGCCTCGATATGGTCGCGAAGCTGCAGTGTGCGTGCACGGATATCTTTAACCCGGATGATATTCTTTTGGTTAGCGAAAACGATACGGAAGATCACGCCCGGATGGCCCACCTCGAACCACGTGAGTACCGCATGTACCTCGTGTACAGGGCCTCCGTGGAGCAGTTCTGGGATATCCGTCGCAGCCAGTTCCTCCAGGTATAGCAAGTAGATTGATTTTATTACAATTCTTTTGTGGCTAAGAAGAAGATGCAAGTAAGTGCTCCCTCGTGTTCGATAACTTGTAGCTGAAAGTGTCTCTTCTACCCTACCTATTCTGTCACCATGCGCCAGGTCTTGGACGACAAAAACGGCGAGATTGACAACAAGATGCTACGCAAGATCTTATTGAAGACTTTTACGGAGGAGGAGGCACGCATGATCTTTGAAGCCCCGCGTCTGGGCCAGCCAGAGGAGGATCCCAATGAAAAGCGCAAGGAGCCTGAAGAGGATGAGGAAGAAGAGGCACTTACTTTTTTTTTGGACGTTGAATGAATTGGATAGTTATGCTCATGCTGTGACATTCAGTTTCATTCCGTGCCTCACGCTGTACGAAGAGCTCCTATATCAAGCTGCTTGTCTGTCCCAGTGCATTCTTATCTTCAATGTATCGCAGGTTACACAGCTTACGCCTTACGAGTGGGCATTTTCCGACTCGATTCACCCCTGGCCAATGGGCGAGCACTACAGTTAAGGCCCACAGCTTAAATGTTTTCACTCCTCTTTCTTTCATAGAAAAAGATATTCTTGATGCGGTTTTGCTGTTACCTCAAATAGATACTGACGCTAGTCCTGTCTTCTAACTCACGGGAAAGGATCCCAGGAAGAAGGATCCAAAGGCGCCGGAGGTGATCATCTGCGAGGTGGACGATCTGGAACGCAGTACTTCTACTTACTTCCTTTATTTCGTGACTTGTGTGAGGTCGCTATGTGCATTATGTTAGTTGTATTGTTTTCGCCTTGAATTTTCATAGTAACTATCAGCATACGCGGAGTTTCTTTCTCTCATTCTAAGTAGCCTCTTCTCCGCCTAATACTGCTTCGCACAAGGGTAGACTATACTATCCCCTCTTCTCTTTCGTTTCTCACTTTCAGTTGCCAAGCAGAAGACCATGGGCCGCGGGGCTTTTTACTTTTGCGACTACTCGCGCGTCACCGCTTTAACCGAGCGAGACTCGGTCGAACCGAAGAAGCCACTTGTGCACAAGAAGGCGGTGAAACATATGGCCGATGGAATGGCAGCCATGCGCAACGCGAGCGCCAATCCTCTGTACTTTTTCATCCCCACGAATATCGAGACCGAGGAACCAATCACCAAGGAAATGAAAAAGCTGACTGGCTGCAAGAAAGGCACTATTGTCTACACGCGCGAGTCGTGGAACAGCAGTTGCCACAAAAAGATGGATGACGCAGATCTGACAGGCACTTACTTACTTGGGAGTAAGCGCTTACTCTTTTTCAATTTTTTGAGGCAGATGAAGCTTGACGTAGTAGGTCTTCTACTTCATACACCCGAACCAGTCCCCTTTCTGCTCTGAAGAACGCTTGATATTAGAGTACTTATTTTTTCCTACCAACTAACGACTTCAACCTTGTCAAAAACAGAGCCGTTTGTGACCAATATGAATGGACTGCCTCGCACGTTTTGGACGGACTTGTCCGACCAGAGAACCAAACTGCTGACACGCTCTTGCATCGACTTGAAGCAGGTGTTTACTTTTGGTTTTCCTTTGCAGTATCATGTACTTAGACCGTTCTTATCGTTGTCTTGAACTTCGTCGTGTCATACTGGTACAGCAAATTCTTCACTTATTCGGCTAGGAGCTCGCTCTTATATTCATTGCTGACGCTCCCCCAGGTCGAGGACAGCGGATGTCCTATCGAATTTGAGGAGATGCCCATCCAATATCAGTCGATTTCAGACGCACAAGGCAAGCCTGTGGAGCAATATTCTGCATGGTTCACGCGCATGAAAAACTGGACGTTCTACCAGACCTTGCGAACGCAGCTCCTCAAACAAACTAATGGAGCCGTTCCGGTCGTCGTCGACCTGTGCATGGACTTAAGACTAGTTTCTTTGTTTCACTTCCTTATATTCGGGTTGCACTTGCTTTTTTATCTATATCAAAAAGTGGGTTTTGAAATAAGGAAAACGCCAAGACAACCACTAAAGGAAGCGACTACTTGGGTGTCTTTTCTAATTCCTGAAATGTTGTGCGCGTTCTGCATTTTGATGAAGATGGACTACATTGGTATCTCCTCCTACTAATGACTGCACTAGTAAATAGACTGTTCTAGTTGCTCGCTTGACTTTCATCTTATTCAGTGGACCGCTAAGCAAGGACGACCGTGCTCATGATTCTACATTTCACTTACTTACTTCCCCCGCCTATTCTACACTCTACAGGAGTCCCAATCACGCCAGCACACGAAGCCGTCAAGAAGAATGCTGCTCGCCACCTCTGGTGGTGGGCAAAGACCTACAGTTAAGCACACAAGTTTTCACTTACTAACTTACTTATTTGAGGAAAGTCGAGCTTATTCATCTTCGTCCTTGGTCTCCTGCTCTCATTGTCGTGTTTACTCGAAAATAAAGGCGATGATCGATCTCCTTCGTCTAATATCTCTGCCCGCTTGAGCACGTGTCTGACCAGTACCGCATTGCAGAGGACTACATCAAGTACACCAAGCGCGAAATCACGCCACTGCAGGTCAGAGTGATGGAAGACTTCATCGAGTATAACCTTTATGGCAAGTTCTACTGCGCTTCTATCTACTTAATTATACCGATATGGTAGTCTCTCAACTTGGGTAAGTAACTAGAGTCTTCTTATCCTAGACCGTTTGTTGTTCTGTTCAGACAGTAAAATGATCTAATCTCTCGTGTGGAACAAGCCGGCTGAGCCAAACTCCCGCTCGAAAAACGCTGCCACCGCGATCAACATGAAGCGCCCCAAGATGAGCAAGGAAAAGGCCGCAAAAGCGAATGCCGGAGGCAACAGCCTCCTGGGTGAGCTCTTGCAGCTGCAGCAGCAGAACCAGAACAACAACGACGACCAGGAGCAGTAAGTAGGAAAGAGAAAAGATGGTAGGTTAGGCAAGCGCCACGGGAAGATGGCGAAGAGGGTATCTATAGCTGGGGATGTAGCAAGTAAGTACTCTCGTAGGGGGAGAGCCTAAGAGATCCAAGTATCTAGCTATTTACTTCTAGTAGCAAATGAGTAGACTTTTTCAGAGTTGTGGCCTAATTGCAACATTTAAGTACACGAACAGGTAGAGGAACTCGAATTATAAGCACGAACGTAAGTACTTCGTGATAGACTTCCAATCCATATTGCTACAGCCTACTACTACTTCTCTTTTCCAAGTAATGAAGTTAATAGTTGCGGGTAGCGATTAATAAAGGATCTACTACAGGGCGACTTTTATTCTGAAGCGAGTTGTGGCTTGCTTTCACTTCTATCGTTGAGAAAGACAGAGATCCAGTTCGAAGTCATCAAGTTGAAAGTAGTGCGAAGTCCTTTTCGCCTTCCGATGCGTATCTAACTGATTAAGTTGGTCAGCGGTAAGCGTCTATGTATCTATGGGGGGATGGATCGATAATAAATAAAAACTGAGCACCTCATGTCATCTAACAAGATTCAACTCATGAAAGTATTGAAAATAGAAGATTTACCTTGATGAGAACAACACAAATTTGCATTACATGCGTAACTACAATATCGACGCTTCGACTCAAACTCCTCGGGCCTCGCGCCCTACTTCGTGGGGGGTCAGTTTATATTTGTAAAGGGTGAGCACATGCTAGCATCGTGCATCCTGGCCGCTCACAGTGATGGCCTCTGTCATACTAGTAGATAAATAACGTTGAGTGGTATTATGGATGAAAGAGTGAATGAATGTAAGAAATCAAAGTAAATAGTTATTTATAGTTTGTGGGGTGCAAGGAGGCAAACTTATGTACAGTCTTCATCAAGAGATAAGAGAGCCGGGTCTCGTTTCTCATCATTTTGCCAGTATTTATTGTGTCGCTGTAGCAGCATGATGATCAACATAACGATATAGCTAGCACTTTCTTCGGGGTGACGAGTAACTATGTCAAAGCTTTGACTTTCAAGTATATAATTAGGGTAGTAATGGGTGAGTTCGGCTCACAACAGATTTTAGCCGTGTTTCACCATCGTTTCGCATTAGGTCTGATATTGTTGAAGAAGTACCGAAGTAAGTAGTAGTTTTAGTTTCTTCACTTGAAGTGGTATTAGTGGCATTGTTCATATAAGTAATTCAGTTTGTTTTTACGTCAGTATTCACATTTCAGATGTAAGTAACTGCAAGCAGACACAACCACGACGGACGACACAGCGCAACTGATTCCAGTACCTTTTGAAACGGCTCACCACGATGGCGTGGTCTGCAGATCTTTTCTATCATTGGGGAGGCCCATTCTCTGCATAAAGGGATAAGCACTTACTCGCCCATGTCATAATATGAATTATTTCAAGTTCAATAATAGCACTGCCACCTTAGCGGTGAAGGGATGCCGCTCGATGTAAAGCCGAACTCATAGTCGAATTATGCGACGACTTTTGTCATGCTAGTGCCTATCGCTATTTGCGTCCTCAGTAACGTGGGGCAGTATTTGACAAGAATCAAATCAACAGGGTACGGGTACTCATGGAAGGAGTAAGTATGTATCGAAGTAGATCACCGGGGGAGACAGTAAGGGCCGCTCTGATATCAGTGCACATGATGGCATCACTCAACTTCGCCCATTGAAAGTCAGAGACTTGACTGGCGACGACGCTCACGCAGCCACCCCCATGACTCTTCTTTCACTACTTCCAAAGATGATCTCTGACTGGCTCGGCCGTCTACTTAGTCACTCTCCTTAGACTAGAACTAGACTTGTGCACAGGTCGACCAGCCAAGAATGCAGAACTTCACTACAGACACACAACAAAACAAGCACAGTTGATGAAGCCGTGTAATAAAGAACTTTCTGCACTCGAATAAGTACGAGAGCAGACATTTCAACTTGTACAGATTAGGTGCCTAGGTGCCTATATGTAAAGTCTCTTATCGACTGCTGCTGCTGATAAACGATCGACGCCACGGACCCCAACCGTTGTAAGACAGACTTTGGCTTGCTGTTCTTGTGGCTTCATCATATTGGCGTCCTTGTGAATATACTTGTACAACTGGGCAGCATCTAGATCCTGAAGATCCTGGACCTTTCATGCGAGTTGATCAGATGAACGTTCTCGAACCCTTACTCCCCCCTAGTTTCCCCCTTTACTACAACAACAAAACGCTTCGAATTATTATTGTTTCGATTACTCGGTTATTTTAGTTTTTCGAGTATCTTGTTGCTTGAGCTTCGACATGATCATCTTCATCGGCGACCCTGAAAATATTACTAACCAGAATGAGGGCTTCTCAGGTCGGTGCTGCAGCTGGTGCCTCCATCCCGCCTGGCGCAATGGGAAGCACAGCCACAGGGGACGATATGGAGCACGATTTAGCGATGGCATTGATTAAGGCTGGGCTTTTCTCTTTTCTTATTTATTATTTGGTTTCTTCTCGTACTCGTTTTCATCACTGGTTTTTAGAGCAGGGTTTAGTTTACTCTACGAGGACCTACAATCTGACCTCCTCGTGCCTCTGTTGTTTTTCAAGTTTTTCATAATCGACAATATACCCTTTCTCCCCTGGTTTTTTCCGAAAGTATCTGATGGACTTCGTGCTGCTCAGGTAGTGTATCTCTAGGTGTAGTATTCCTCATTTCTAGCACTGTTCTCGCCGCTTCATCAAAGCTAGTTTAAGGTTCCTTCTCAAGATTAACAATGGCTTGAAGTAATAGTGTCTTGACCTTCTCAAATTAGTAGAAAGTGGAAATACATATACAACACCTATGAATATGAAATGTATTGCTCGCACTAAGGTAAAAAGGTCACTACAACCTGGCGGAGCACGAAAATCGAGCGCCCCTATAGGTGCGTTTGGCCGAATGAGTCTGGCGCCTGGTATGAATGGCGGTACACAACAGGGACTACATGTTAAGGCTCAAGAACAAAACAATTCAGTCACTGTCACGTTCAAGTCATTTCTTCTTCTGTTTCCTTCTTAGGAAGTAGTCGAGAAAGTAGTATATGAACCTAAACATCAAGGTAGAACAAAAGTGAGTCTTCACTTTGAGCTCCCTCTAAGAATGATGTGATGGCAGCAGGAGACGAGATTTGGTCTCGAGGCGAGCGATTACAACCAGGAGAATTCTCAAAGATGACAGAACGTGCTGTCCAACAGAAGTTCACAACGACTGCAACAAACATGATGTTTCAAAGGTTATGTTGAACAATTTCTCTTGGATGAATGTACTTTTTTTCAAGCTGTTTCTTTCATCAAGTGGTAACTACAACTCCAACTACTACTAAGAACTTTATATAGTTTCATCACAAGAACTTCTAGTTCTATGTGGTTATCTGTATCACCTGATAGCGCCGCACTGATTTTTGATTTTGATATATACCCAGATTGATTCCTCGCTCCCTCTAAGAATCGATTACTACGCCAAACGAGCGGAGAACGCGGCTGCTGACCATGTGCAGCCACCAATGAGACCTCTGCCTAATCATCCAGCACGTACCAACCCCTTCATAGCACCAGACGACTTTCCCCTTTCCTCGGACCCGCAACTGGCACAGCTTCCACGAAAAGCAGCGACTTTGACTAAAGTTAAGAACCTCTTGATGAAGAACAAGAACTTAGATGAGCTGATTCCTCATTTCCTCTACCGTACGCCCCGCCACAATCAAAACTTTAGGAAGCGTTCGAGACGAGTAACTGTAGGAAGTCCGCAACTTCTAGCACAGCAGCTTCCACTAGAGTACTAACTCATGTTCGTTGATCATGGATTCCAAGAATTAACCTCTAAAACGGGTATGGCGCAGATAGTTCTGGTATTGCAGCAACTTGGGTACCAACTACCAGACAACAAGCTTCCAGCGTTTATCGAGAAAGAACTGGCGTCCTTTCTAGGAGAAAGCACGACAGTAACGGAAAGAAACGAAAAGGACGAATTTGAACTTCATGCAGAGCTGCAGGCACATCAAGAGTATGGCAGCGATCCCCGTGGCAACCCTTTTTCGGACGCATTTTGGGCACGCTTACAAAGGGACACTGCATCCAGAATGAAGACTGATTATGAAGAATACAGTTTTTTAGTTTTTTCTCCCATTTGATGAACGTCCCTTTTCGTCTTCCACCTCTTAAAAGAGAGAGAAAATGTCTATACAAACACGTTTAGGCTTTGATGAATCTTGTCATTGATAGACGTTTAGGCTTTGATGAATCTTTTCATATTTTTTTGTTTCCTAGATAGGCGTGCTCCACCGATCTATACAATCAAGTCAAAAGGGTGCCTCTGCCTTGATGGTCCTCTGTTCTAGAGGTAGAGCGGAGGAAAAACAACAGCTTCATTCTTTCATACTGATGATCCCGCAACCGCACTCTCGAAATTGAAGTTGATTTTTGGGCAGAACCAAAAGGCAATGAAAGCAAACAAAGCGCAAAAAAAAAGGGACGAGCAACTTACTTTATGATTTCTGATACAACAAGAAAAATTTTCATCGATATCGTCCTCTCAGGTTCTCATCCTCACTACTTCTCCTCACTACTTCTCCTCACTACTTCTCCTCACTACTTCTCCTTACTACTTCTCCTCTCTACTTCTCCTCTCTACTTCTCCCCACTAGCTACGCAGCACTATTGAACAACACCAAAACTCTACAACTACGCACTTCTAACCCACTGCAACAAATTGTAATTACTCGTACTCAACAACACTCTCCATCTTCTAAGCCTCAAAGATGTTCTTCGCAGTGGTGCTGGCACGGGTGAGGGACTGGGCGCGTTGCTGGGTTCGCAAGGCAAGATGGGCTCACGTAGAGGCGTGTTTGACGGCTTAAGGGGGCCACTTGTTGAAGATAGTACAACTCATCTAATTTCATTTCTAATACCGGTGTGAAGCAGCTGATTGAACGTGGATTACGAGTTTAGTCATTCTCAAAAGATTGATTCTGAAGAAATGAAGAGAAAGGAACCTGCTTAAGAAAGGAACCTTAACCTATTGACCTGATCTAAACAAAGGCATAGGTTCCGACACGCTGAAGGACCAACCTGTTTTTCGGACAGCTCGTGAACGTGCTCAGATTGGAAAGTGGGCAAGAAGAGAACACGCGAAAGTATATTTGAGGACGTTTATGGGAATGAAGGTGTTGATTGATAATTGTGAGTCTGAGTACTAGAAGTACCTACTTAGTACTAGTTAGCACATCAACATCAACATAAAAAAGTTGTTTTTGAAATATCAATATGATAGTTTCCAATAATTTTCCTCTTTGCTCTGGTCCTGTTGTTTCAACATCTGGGGATGCTCGTTAACGTGATTCATTTTACAATTCAAATCTAGTACAAGAACAAACACATTTTTATAGGATGGTACACATAGCGCCTCCTGCTCTTTCTGTACTGCTCCTCCATCTCTATCAATATGATCTAATACCTGGCGTATCGAGATGGGTATAACCTCTGTTCTCCAAGACCGATTTGTTGTCTGTAAACAGTTGATGCGTGCAGAGACTCGCTACGCCCGATTATGCAAGGAAGAGAAGCGGCAGCTGTTTTTGATGAGAAAAATGCGAGAGCACAGTACGAATGGCGGAGGACATCGCGTACTAGCAAGTGGCTTTGGAGGCGATGCTGCTTTTGATGAAGCGCTATTTTTTGATTAAGAGGAGGATTTTATTTTTAGGTTTACCAATCCGCCTTGAAATAAGTATATAAAAACAGAAACCGCAACGGAGAACCCTTGTTCTTTCTTTCATCCCTGTGGGCCGAAGTAGATCGATGGTCCTCGAATCGGGGATCGGCATTGACTCAAGCCTATCTATCATGTCGATCGTGAGAACAACTACGATATTTTTCTGTCAAAGAAGTGACCTTCTAATACAACAAGCGTGGTCGAGGTGGCAACGGAGGGAGTAGCGGATACGGGCATAGGAATATAGAGGAGCGAGAAGCTTTCAGCATCTTAGCCACTGGTTTACGCCTCGCGGATAAGACATCGCAGAAGACCGAGTTGACAGAGGAAATGGCCAAGTTGCGCCAACGCGACGCTGAGCTAATCGAGGCCTTTATTGACCTAGAAATGCGCACCAGACAGGCATATCGAATGGGTTTGGCCTTAAGGGATGCATCAACTTGACTTGACCTTTCCATGAGCATATCTAGTTGTTCTAGGCCCATAATGTAGTCGAGAAGAACAAAAGGTTTACAACTAGATATGTGTATGTGAGATGATAGATCGGTCAACTTGCCACCCCTAATGGTCGTGATGATGCCATCTTCAGGGGGGTCGCAATCTTCTACCAAGTTTAAGTACATGACGATGCAAGAGGAGGAACAGTGCTCGATCACACTGTCAGCGGTGACGAAGAAAAAGCGGCTTTTGTTAAGGCTACAGTGGGCGCATCTTCCCAAGCAACTTCTACGTGGTGTTGTTCCATTTGTTGTTCCCTTTTCTCATCAAGAGAAAACGGGCATCACGATGCTCTTGCCGATCATGGTTTTTTGGTAGCTCTAATTTCAACCATGCTCCTCGACCTCATGGATGAGCTGCGACGTGTCCGACGTGAGTATTTCGATCGGCAGAAGTACTTGATTGAGCACGCTGGTGTGCAAGGTGCAGCACGGCAGATCGGAATAGACGACTGGGATGACATTTTGGACATTGCGGGTGGCACTGCCGCAGCATCTCAGCTTTTGGCTCAGCCACACTCACTAACTTTAAGGCTTAATACGTACCGTAATTCCTGTACATGCTACCTAGGTCCAGCGACGCTTAAAGCACAAAAAGAAAAACAACCGGATTTCTCTCGTTTTCATCCTAGGTTAGTCCCTACAATCAAAGGATCAATGCGCACCGTAATTCTTTATGTACATGTTGTTTAGAGGAATCTTTCTTACTTTATTAACCTCTTTGACTCCCTTTTACAACAGCCGTAATTGTTTCTGAATCAGAAGCATCTTACTTACTTCTTTGACCACTCCATTTACCTTTTATTTTTGAAGCTGTCTGAGGACGAAAGACACGCCCCTTTCAAAGTTGAAAACACCTACACGTCAAAGTAAGATGGTTCTCTTCATCAAGGTGAGTGAGTGACTATACATAGGTAAAGCTCTAACAACCGCAACACTGCACAAGTTTTTGCGTTTGCAGAATCGAAATCACAACAGATTGCAGTTGCCCGGTGTCGGAAACAGTGCTGCTTACGGCGCATTGATTTTAATTGTACCTTATTTCGCTTTGGTACATTCGATCTACACTTTCTTTCGATGTCATGATCGGATTTTTCAAGAGTGATGGTGGAATAAGTAGTAGCGAACTATGAGTACTTCTACTTTTTTCCTATCATCTTGTTCCTTCTAGAAACAACAAAAAATAACAATACGGTAAAGGTAAAATTGTAAAGCTTCTACTACTACGTTGTACTTAGTAGGTGGGCGTGGGAACAAGTTGCATGCACCAAAAGAGATTGAAATACACCATGATCGTCCACTCCCAGCACTATCGAAGGCAAATGAATATTTTCCAATAAGTTACACTATGATCAAGCACCACCATGATCGGCCATTTCCACACCCTCCACTTCCATACTTCCACCCCTTTCTAATCTCTTCCATCTTGGTTGGCAGAAAGGGAACGTACTCAATTGATCAAGGAGCTGGAAGAGGATCCTATTGGTCGTATGCTTCTGGCGCCGGTTCCTCACGACAAGGTCGCACTGCAAGGAGAACAGCAGAGCCTTGTAAGTTAAGCTTTTTTCGGAGATTTTTCATCACGATCAGGAAAAGTGGAAATAAAATGGAATTTTCATCAGGATCTTTGTGACTTTGTACAACTTCTTGTTCAGTGTCTTTTCCTCAAGGAAAAACAGTTCTTCAACACAGGATAACGTATTTAGATGAAGATTAAACAACATGATTTATAAGCATGGAGATAAGTAGTACCAACATGATATGCATAAAAATTAAGCGCCATAAGCAGCATATTGAGCTTAAGCTTAAGGTACTAAATCTAAAGACTAGACTTTTTATAAAGATCATCTTCAAGGAGTAGATCCCCATCTTCTTCTAACCTACGTTGCGCCGCGAGCTGATCGAGTTCGAGACTGGGCAATTGGAAGACACAGGAGAGGTGACACAGCTGATCACTGTCATCGAGGACAAATTACACCATATCGATCACCGTTTAGGCTATTTGAGAGTCAAATCAGAAAAAACTGCAGGAATGGTTAAGGCTTCTACTTTTGTCCTATAATAATTCATCTACTCCGACCGCAGGCGTACTTGTTACTAGGGATCTGGATCCCTCAATATAAGTACCTAGTACAACTACGCGGTAGGAAAGATTGTATATCTTGGCGTACCTCCTTGAAGGATCGTACTTCTTCTTGTAGGCCGCGGAAGGATCCCTCGTTCAGGTCGTGTGATCGATTATCGGTGACGAGCAACCTCTAATGCATGTCCTGACTCACGTGTTGTGTGGACACCTTACGGCATGGCACCTGCTGAGCAAGGAGAAGATCTCGATGCAGAAGAGAGGCGTTTGCAGCAACGTCTCGCAGAGTTACAGGGAGTTCGACAAGCGACTACGCTACAGTACAACTATCACACATACATAGTGAATTAGTATTAGAGCAGCTGTATTCATCTCTTTTTTTGTAATCTATATCTAAGTAGTGGGAGTCCGAGTCCGATAGGCGATTAATACGCAACAGTACAGAACCATCATTTTTTTATACCTAAGTCCGACAGGCTCGGGCGACTGCGCAACGGTACCCCTTTCCTTTTTGCTCAATCTTTGATTATACTTAGTAGACCAGCTGGCTCTTCATGGAGAACAAATCTTCTACAACTTTCACCCTGCTCGAAGTAGACTAACTGTGAGGAGTAAAAAACTTGTTACCGACCAACTAGACTACATCATGTAAAACGAAAACGTGATGATGTACAAACTTGTTTTTATTGTACCTACGTCCGTAGATGCTGATATTTTTACCGATACAACTTCTCTCTTAACTAAGACTCTTTAAAAACATCTCAGGCGCGGGAAAAATATTGTCGAGGCGAGGCCGGATCAAACAGAAGCGAGGAGAAATCTGCGCCAGGCCCTTGTGGAGACCGGAAAGTTACGACGTCAACAACCACATACTTTTTACTCTTAGACTATGTAATTATATCTTGTTCTTCTAGTAGTACCGTGAAAGTAAACAAGTTGTCCGTCGAAGTTGTTCTTCTACCGTCATGATCTATGTAATATCTTGTTCTTCTCCCGTCATGATGTATCTACTATATCGCGTCGTGGTACAGCATAGTGCAGCTATTAGAATAAGTAATATCTTGTTTTATCCTCGTCGTCATGATCATGTATCTGCAACTACTTCTATCTTCAATTCGTGTTCCACTTCTATCGCGTTGCATTTGCACTTACATGTGACGAGGCAACCACGCACTGTACTACAAGTAACAAGAAGTTCTAGCTCTTGTACAACTTATCTATCAATTTTGCCAGAAGTTGTGAAGACACTGACACAGTCACAGAAACTACATAATCTTGTTGTATTGATTTCAACATCCATGCCCAGGACTGTCCTCCTCCACGTGCACGTCCACGCCCTTGTTTCTTTCCTCCAGTGATCCTCCTGACTTTCCTCCCACAAACTTCTAACCTTCGATACGGGCGAGGTGAAGTACGGTCGCGATGGTCGCAAGCTGCTTGGAGATCGCATGCACTTGCGCAAGTACAAGCTTAGGTTGAGAGGGATGGACAGCGACGAGTCGGTCTCCAGTGCTGAGAGCGATCCAGTTCTTACAAGTGAAAATGATCCTTATGTTGACACCGTGAAGAACAAGGAAGGGGTAGAACTAGAAGGAAAAACAGAAGTAGAAGGAAGGAAGGAGCAGTTGTCGAAGGAAAATTACCGGTTACTTTTTCCTTCGACCTCCACGACTCTAAAGAACCCAGTAGTGCGTACCAATGAAAGAATGAAGGAGTGGTCAGTCGACCATACGACCATAAAGAGAAAGAAGATAATCGACTTTTTTACTATTCATATAGACATCATCAACAGCACTAGGAGGCTAATATCAAACTATTCAACATTCAACTGAACAATAGATGTTCTGATTACCAGATTGCATAGATGTTGTGATGTTGTTCTCCTCTGTTAGGTAGGCTATCAATCAATGAGTCAATCAGTCGCGTTCTCCCTCTTCTCTTTCTAAAATTCAGACGGTGCGAAAGCTGCAGCGCGAAAGAAGAAGAGAGATGCAGGTGGCGCTGACTCAGATACAGAATCTGACGACGACGACGACGACGACGATGATGACAGCCCTGACGTTAAGACGAGAGAGTTGTTACAACAAGAAGCATTTGCATCTCTAATTATAATTGTCGTAAAGATCGGACTCGGTGTCGGTATCCATCTGATGGCCATCTCTTACTTTTGCTACCTCTACTCAATTATCTAATAGCTTCTACGCAATCTTCTATCTACTTACTACATACTCTATATGAGTCCCGTAGGTGGCATGTACGCAAGAGCTCTACTTGCATGAGAGATTTAGCCACTTCATAACAAGCTAGAAGGGGAACAATAAAGCTTCATCTAGAAGACTACGCCAGCCACAGCCGTAGATACTTTTTCCTGAGATACTTTTTCCTGGAAAAAGAATATGTATCTATGTATAGTACTATGCCAACCATACTAAGTAGGTGATAATAAATCACTTCCTCTTCCCTCGTCTAGCATGCTACTCCTCGACGTCAAGCACTAGTACTGCTACTAGCTCTAATAATGGTGCACGGGAGTCGAGGGCAAGCCCTGATACTGGCGGACGGGAGGACGGCTCGGACTCGTCTTCGTCTGACGATAGTGATAGTGACTGAAGTGGAGATGAGGAGGAAGAAGTGTTGACATTGAGCTTTGATCTCTTATTTTGAGCTTGACTTCAGGTGCCGCGATGGCCTAGGACTTGGGTTTGTGTTAAGCAAGACCTCTCTTATCACTCCTTTGCGCATCAATATGTAGTTTATCGATCATGACCTCTACCTCTGCCAGAGGACGAGGTGGACGTCATCTTCTTTGAACAACATACAAAAACTACACAAGAGAAGCATTGTCCTGCTGTGCTTGCTTAATTATCTCATTAAGACTTTAATTTCTAATATAATCAATTGTGATTTATTTTTATATGCATTTATATGTGGGAGGACAGGGAACAATCGCGGCTTCGTCTAGTACATCCTAAGTTCTTTCTTCAGAAGTGACATCAAGATATACTTGGCAATGCAGTTGCTTGTTACGTCGGTCCTCGCGTACAGCTCAAGCACAGCTCGGTCTAGTAAGGTTCAGTCAGTTTCGGCGTTTTCTTCATAGTCGTGAATGCTCATCTCCTCGAGGTGAGCACAGTCCCATGCTTGTTCCTCAACATAATTAAGTAATTGTTCTGGTATACTTAACCCGCTTCGTGGATTTTTCTGTGCGATTGGCTCTTTCGGAAATTCGAAGTCGTACCTCATGTTAGAAGAAGTCTTACCCTACGTTTCAGATCAAGCAAGTGGTGGTCAACAACAACATCATCATGTTCTTGAAAACCGGAAGGCCCTCAACATCATCAACATGTTACAAGCCGGAAGTACTCCTCATAGTAGCTTACTCGAGGAGGTCCTGAACCTGAATCCGCACGATTTCTTCCTACCGAATAAGGGAAAACTACCACTACCCAATCCTGAATTCTCGCTCTTGCCATCTGCGACCGATTCAGGGAGTAACAAGGCGCTGACGTCTGCACAAAAGGTTAGGGGGGCTTTACCTTATTTACTAGTTTGGTCGAACAATTGGAATTCATTTTGACGTCGAGAAGAAGCGTCTTATTTGTTCTTCTTGTGTCCTCCTCCTTCACTGAACTACAAGGGGAACGATCGAGACACGTCAAATCTCATATGAATCACTTGTTCAAGATGAATTAATTCTGTCTTTTTGTGCTAGTATAGGTACAATCATCACCATGATCATGCCGATGAAGCTCGTCTTCTAATTTCGAAGCCTTTCGCATTCACCACAAGAATGGCACAGCGTTGCAAAAACGGATGGCCCGTGATGCCGAAATAGCTAAAACGGTTGGTCTAGCATCCCCATTCGTGCAGGCACAGCATGTTAAGGCTACAACAAGAAATCCAATTTCCCCAGGATCTTAGATACTTCGTCCCTTTTTTATTTCAAGGGGACCAAGATGAACCGGAGGATGGACTTCCCCTACAGTTCCTTCTAAGCATGGATCCTTACTGTTCACTTGTCCTGCTGGCTTCTCACATATTCGGGAGAAGCGGCCTGGCGTAACATGGTTACTTGGTGTCGCAAATAGTGCGCCACTCAGCACAGTGCTGCCGGGGACTAGTTATGATGAGAGTCAATGTGATATCTTAGAAGTTGAAGTACTTAGAAGTCATACACTGTCTCAAACATACCACGACCACAAACATGGGTCTGAATTTCAGCAAAATAAATGTGTTTGTTGATAAGGGAACGAAGATGGCGATATCAACATCTTCTGGCCAAAAATGGCAACTATGACTATGTTGCAGGAGAAGACCTCGACCTCATCTGCTCTAAGTCCTTGAAGAGACTTCCTTGCGTCAGTTTCTATGCGTGAACGATGGCGGCGCGCTCGACCCTGTCTCCATCAAGCAGAAGCAAAACATGTTCAGTGCGACGATGAATACTGCCCTAGGTCGAAAACAAAATCCTATCAACCAAATCTCCGGCATTGGCAAGAAGACTGAGGCTAGCTTAACGGCAAAGGAAAGAGAAGTGAAAGCAGCTCAAGGAGGCATAATGCCTAGTTGGAGTGGGACATTACGGACTATCAGTCACTCGTCATTGCTATTTGAGATAGTTGTAGGAGCTTTTGTTGAGGTATCACGCTAGGGATTGAGCGAAAACAATACTTGAGTGTGGCCTTCTGTCCGGCAAATTCTGGTTGAGATGAAAAAATAAGTTACTTAAGGAGGAAAGGTAGCACGTGATGAATATCTTAAGCCGCTTCCAAATATGCGACTAAAACAAAAAAATATCTGATTATAATTAAGTAACCTCCTCCCTTAACAGGCTGCTTGTGTACAAAATTCCCCCTTATGTTGAGGTGTGCTGCAAATCTAGATTGGCTTCTTGCCTTTATATAGGGTCGAGGTTTAGGCCCAGCGGCGCTCAAAGCACTATCTAAATAAAACAACCGGTTCGTTTTTACCTCTAGCGTGTAGCCCCTTCGGACAATAGTTGTAGGAGCTTGCTCGCTTCCATGTTGATGCTCTACTTGTACTTGGTAGTAGTTGTGCTATCACTATTACAATACAGAGACGCAGATGGATTCCCTACGAGTAATTTCTGAGACACGCGATCGATCCTACTAAGCCAGAGCCACATTTTCGTTTTCATCCTTCTTCTAACATTCCTCCTGCACAAAGACGAGTCGCGGTCCGACAGAAAGATGCTAAAGGCCTTACCGCTAGTGCGCTATTTAGACGCAAAACATAATGCAGCATTAGACGTGTGGCCTGCGCAGGTGACAGTAACAGGTGACATCGCCACTAAACCAGGCAGCACTCGTTCCTCCTGTGCACTTCGAAGTAAGCGGTTTAAGATGTGTTATCCACTGGAAGAGGGATCTGCTAGTACACCAGAAAGAGGATGTCCACGTCGTCAAGACCATCAGACATTCACAACTATGGTATGCGCTATGGTCCCGGCAGAGGGTACTGTTGATATGAGCTGAACACGCCTGAGGACAGGAGGAGGTTCTCTACTGCTGGTAGACTTTTTTCTAAAAAACATGAATGTCAACGAACGGTGATCACAAAATAAAACTTGTGATAGCTCGAAGCCATCAGTGTTCTACTTAGACTTCTATTTGGTCACGGTCGGTTGTATTCGACGTTCATCCATGCAACTTCGGTTCTACTTGGCCAGTGCTGCAAGAAGAGGCTCATGCTTGTAATCGGTGCATAGTCGCAATGACAAATAAGTCATCAAAACCCAAGACAAAAGAACGAAAACAAAGACATTTGTCATAATTCGTCCTAGTCCTACCGCTAATGTCCTTAAATGTATGATCGGTTTCAATTGCTGGAAGAAGAGAACATCAACATTGTTTGATACTAGAACATATAAAAGTCAGCACGATCGGATGCCACCATGATTGTCATAATTATCGCACAGCGATCGGTTTCTCAGAGAACCATTGTCACAGCGTCAACCTACATCGGTCGTCAAGCAAGCTCTGCAAAAGAAAGAGACACCACATAGACGAGTGAATCTCCACATAAACCACGAGTTCCCACCATCCCTCTGGAACTTCAAGATTGATGTGTATTCGAAAACTCAAAATAACCGAGTTACTGACTGAAATAAGGGAGGCACTAGCTTGTAGCGTCAAGGCTACCTTTCCTTCTCATCAGTATCTCGGTTATTCTGATCAGTTACTCGCTTATTTCAGTTTTTCGTGTAGGTAACTAATTGCACCCGTGATCCTAAGCACTAAGATTGATGTGTAAGTAACTATTTGCACCCGTGATCCTAAGCACGAGTACGAACGAAATCATCTTAATAAATGGCCTGGCAGGTAATAGCTATCATCGTAAGATGTTGAGGTCTCATGAAGATACAGTTCGTTCTAATGAGCCTAATATCGCTACGCACGATGATGACACACATTGCTGTGATGAAACCATATTCAACATTCGTGTCTACAACAGGAGAGGACATTTTCTTCAATAGATGATGCACAAGTGGAGTAGAACGGTTACACTGACAGTTGGAGTAGGTCATTTGTGGGTCTTAGGAAAGCCCACCTGGCTGGTGTCGAGGAACATCGTCTTCGTCATGTTCATGGTGCCCTCCTGGCACAAAAAAATAACGCTTCAATGAGGACAACAACTACTACCACGCGGAGGACTCGTCGTTCTGATGTTTTGATAGAACAGAAGCTGCAGCCCGACGAAAGAAGTCGTGAGGAGCGGCTCAGAAGTGTGGGCGTTAGCGCCGCTGAGGATGATGAGGAATTTTACGGGTAGTTTGTCACTTCTATCCCACGCGGGCTATGCACCTGAGCAGTGGGTTCCCTTTATTTCAGGTCAAACTGTGGACGGGGAGTCAAACCCTATCCTATCCTATTTCATGATGTCGAGGGGACGATTTCAAGGGAGAGAAAGGGAAACCACTCAAGGACCACGGATAGAGAAAAACTAGCGTTAAGAATTACAAAGTACGGAAGTTGCACCAGAGGAGGAGGAGCAAAAGCAAAAGCAAATGGAAACAAGACCTCTATCCAAGTTGGAACAACATTTTTATCGGAGACTTGGCAGAAACGTTACAACAGCTACACTTCCAAAACCAAGTCCAAGTCGTGACGTCGTTTCTGGCTCTTCGGGAATAACAACTGGTAGATTTCATCAGGATGCGTTATCTACCTCAGAACAAGCAAGACCTGATCATCATGATGAAGAAGACGGCGAATCCTCCGAAGAGGACGTAGTAGGAGATCAAATGGACGACTCCTCTGGTGTTCCTATTGGAAGGGTAGCGGAAAATGCAGATGTTGATCATGGTAGTGGGAGTGGCTCACGACCCGATATTAAAAATGAGGTCTACGACGATCTACCTTTTGTCACGCCAGACCATGTGCCTGGCCCTGGAAGATATGCCCCACCTGAACCATCACGAGAAGATGAGGAGCATGATGACGAAGAAGAAGAATCCTCATCCGCTTCTCCGTCGCCTTCCCACTCACCAAATAGAAGGAATATTGGTGAGGCTCCTGCAACTCTTGGAGGAACAAAAAGGCCGTTTGCTGCATCCATGTTTGGTCAAGGAGCGTTTCTCTTCGTGGGTGAACAAGTTATGCGACGCAAACGACGGCTTAGTTTAAGGCTACCGCTCAAGCATCCTCAGCATCATCGTTGGCCCTTTCTCTACTTGAAAAAGGGACCAAGGATGCACTCAGGGAGGCTATTAAGGCGGTAGCTCTAATGAATAGTCTCGTAGCAGACAACTGGGAGATGGTGCAAAGTATGGTGGACAACGGCGCAACCGAAAGGGAAATCGAAAAACATTTGAGACGTATTTATTTCCTTTGACATTGAGTGTTGCCTTGGTGGAACGAAAAATGTGCATGTAGGTATTAGTATTTATAGGGTAAGCAACTTTTCTCGAAGTGATGAAATCCTTAAGAATCTTCCTTAAGTGCCTTCCTTAAGGGAATTGATTCCCTTAAAGGATTTCTATCACAAAAAGCCTACCGAAGTAAGTTGTGAACTTTTAGCGCGCTGCTGCCACAAATTTATAATATAAATATCCTCTTCATCCACTTGTTACTTAGCTGGAGTGGAAGTAGATCTAGAAGATCGAGCCTACATCTAGAAGATCCTGAACTGCCATATTTATATGGCATAGTTAAGAAATTATTTTGCTTTTACTTAGTTAAAAACTTCCTTGCCTTGGTTTTATTAAGAGGTTAAGCAGCTGCGAGCTAGAGTGGTCCGCAGTTGGGTCGGGAAGCAGGTCGGAAGGACCTGCGGACTCGCGATCGAGCGCAGTTGCGATGTCCTCCGGCGGCCACCTTCAGCCCTTTCCAAAAAGGGTCCCATTTCGGCACCCCAAATGACCCCCCTCCAAAAAAAACTTTTTAAGAAAATGGCTCGTTGGGTGGAACTGGTCAAACCTAGAAGGTCTCGAAGATCCTGAACTGCCATCTTCAACCTCAGGGCGAGAGCAGGAGCAGCTGTCTGAACCTGACGAGGTGGCCAAACAAATAGAGGCCGCGACGAAACAGAACACGAAGGCCAATGGTAGAATCTCGCTACTATTAAGGTTCTAATATTTACCAATTACTATTACTACATCCTCCACGACCAGCACAACGAAACATTCGTTCCTCACTCTTATTTTTCCAGTTGTAGAATGGAAATAGGAGAAGGTAAGGGATGAAAAAAATGTTCTGAAGTAGAAGAATTAGAATGTAAGAGCAACAGGAATGCTTGCAGCTTATGCTGCAACGGCAACCTCTAAAACGAGGCGAGGGAAGATGTTTTAAAGAATGTAATTCTTGTATGCTTCTGGTATTTATTGGTAACCTGAAATCGAAGATCACAACAGGGATTCTCTTCTTGTTTTCCTTATGATCCAAATCAGGTTACCAAATGCCTGAGCCATTCAGTAATACCTATACTGCAGCCTCCTCTAATACTAACTGAAGAAGCCGCAGCATCTGGGCCACCTAGAAAGAGCAGGCGAAACCGTTCGAAACAGAACCACAGTACTGCCACGTCAAATGGGGATCAAGCAACTGCAATGGCGCTGCTACCCAATGATCCACATTTAAGGCATTGATTTGCTGTTTCCTAATTCGTTTTTTTTTGAGACTGAGAGAGAGTCATCACATCCCGCAATTTTAACTTTTATCAAGACGATTTTTTGAATGAAAGATAGTGCCGGCCGCGGTTAATTAGTTTTAGCAGATTATAGGAGAGTACTTGAGGATAATTACTCTTTTCGCTTTTCTATCTTCCTCTGGTCTTTCTTTTTCCATTTCGAAGGAAAACTTCGACGCGCTCTAAGAAAACAGAACGCGAGCAAAAACAAGCTTCAAGATCAGCATGGTGCCTTTATTATCAACAAGAGCCCTACAGCTGCGTCTTCGAAGAATGCAGCAGGTAGAACGTCTCCGCTTAATATTACGGCCTCGTCACTTAATCCAGCTTTTACCGGTGCATCTGGATCTGCAAGCTGTTTTCAAGTAGAAAAACAGAAACGGTAAGGGATGAGGGAAACGATGGACAGGAGTGAGCTCTAATAATGTGACTGCTGCTGCAAAGACGCAGGGGACAGCGAGATCCCTGAGCATGGGCACCGCAGCTTCAACATCGACGATCCATGAGCGTCGATCAGTCCAAGAAGGTGGAAGTTTAAATATTGTTGGTGGGGTAGGAGCAAGTAGTCCATCTACATTAACGGGTTCTTCGGGAGGACGATTGGGGCCACCTGCACCCGGTGAACACGTCGGATCCCTACTTTTGCAACACGAACAGCGAGGGTCGTCTGCGCTTCTACAATTAAGGTTGTTCTGACGATTCTTTAGAACAAATCTGACATTTGCATTCTTAGAATAGAAATAGTCTCCTACAACTACAAGAACTTCATCTATTATACTAAAATCATGTGCTGATCATCCACCACAACCTCTTACTAGACTTAGTAGAAAGCAATGTTTATGTTGTCGGAACCGCGGAAGCTCTAATACATCAGCATCCTCCTGGAGGAGCAGGAGGGCCGGATCGAGCATCCTTCCTAGCCGCGATGACAGCTCCTTCGCGATTCTCTTCTTCTTCACAGTTAAGGGGCAATTTGACGGTGACCTCTCTAACAAAAGTGCGTGTATCAATGAATGTATTGAAGCTACTTTGTTCCCAGTACAGGAAAGTCACAGATCACGACAATGCCATAGACCATAGTAGAAAAGAGGCGTAGATCATCAGGTCGGGACGACGGACATGGGAGAATTGACAAGAACATAAGTTGATAACTACATCCATAGCCAACTAAGTAGTTGCCCTAGTCAGTGCAGCTAAATTTAAAATGGTATCAACTTATGTTCTTGCCCTAGTAGTACTACTTGCAGCTAGCCCTAAGTTGTCCAGGCAGCATAGCGGCGCAACAACATCGGGGACCGAACAACAACGGTATTGTCGATCCTGGAGTTCCTCCACCAAGACTAAGTAGCGGCCCAGGTGCAACGGCTTTTTCACTATCACAAGTCGGCAGAATGTTACGGCTTGTTTTTCAATATTCCATGACCATGATAAGAATTTTGTACCGTGACGAAGTATAGAAGCTTTTCAATATCCCATGAACAGGACAGTGATAAGAATTTTTTACCCCCTTTAAATCAGAGGCGTGCTGCAAATCTTGACTGGCTTCTACCTTTTTATGTAAGGTAGAGGCTTACAGGCCGAGCGACGCTCGAAGAATTTAAAGTAAAACAGCCGGTTAGTTTTCCCTCTAATATTCTTGTTAGGTGTAAGTGTATCCCTTCATGCTACTTATATCCCATGACCGTGTGGACTAATTCTAATGTGCTGAGTAGAGTCCCCTTCATGCTATATCCCATGACCGTGTGGACTAATTCTAATGTGCTGAGTAGATGTAGAGTCCTCTCCTCCTTTGATTCCTGCGCTAATATTACCAGCAGCGCCAGGAGGCGGAGTTGAAATCAGAATCTCTGGTAACGTTGACAATTACAATAGCGGACCAAATGGAGGCTCTGGCGCGAGCGCTCCGAATATATCAAGAAGACAAAGCAGTCTTAGTTTAAGGCTTCATCTACAAGAAATCCACCTTTTTCCCCAGCATTTATAATCAATGTTCGTCTCGTTTTTCAAGGGAAAAGGGGGGGAGGAATGCTTTTGAAGATGGATGAAGTGGATTTCTCTTAGAAGTTCTAATTAGTATGAACGACAGCAAGAGCAACCTTTTCAACCAGGTTCGCGGGCTGGATCAAAGGATTCAGAACGATAACATCGAGAACAAAACGAGTTTCTTTTTGGAGTCCGCGAGACGTGAAATGCACGCTGCTGCTTCTGCTGGAAGCATGAAGCCTCCTAGAGGATTACGGCTTCCAGGAATCCATCTTCTTCAGAAGCATCTTGTTGAGGCCCGACTTTTTAAGGGAAAAAGAGACCCGCAAGATGTGATTTTCTTCAGGATGGAGGCCAGGAAGATCTAAGAAGTAGACGTGAAGGGGAAGTTTCTATGCATGTGAAGGAGAAGTTTGACATATGCGATGATCAGAACGATCATCTTCAGATGAATGTTGATACTCCACAAAATTTTCAGAACAACAACAACAACGCAAGAAGCTCTTCTATTAAGGCTCCTTGAGGACGAAATCTTAATCCATCTCGTCAACAGTCATCCTAATCCATCCCGTCTCACTTTCTGGGGAAACGGAAACGGGTACGGAGATGATGCCCACCAAGATGGATTTTTGCCCTGCAAGTTGAACTTAGTTCTAGCTGTGCGTTCTAACTCGAGCACTGCATCTATGCAGCTGAGTGCTCTAGATGCATTCCTAGAAGGAGGTGCTGGAAAAGGTCCCTCTGGTGCTACTGCGAAAAACAACACGGACCGTGCGAAAAGGCGCTTTAGTTCTTACTTACTCGACAACTGGGAGGAGGTTCAAAACATGTTACATGCTTTATGGCATCTTGATGTTCAAGGAGTTGCTAGTATAATTGTATAACTTGTTGTAGTTGTAAAAAGAAGTATGTTCTTGTACTTCTACAGAAGTGTCGTTTCTGCAGTCGTGACTGATGTGTCAGGAGCAAGACAAGGAGAAGTTCGCCTATCTTGTCTTCAGTCACTTCCTCCTCTTCTAACAAGCGGTGAAACTCTGGAAGGCATAGAGGCTCGCTTGAATCAGATGGCAGCGGAAGATGGCACATCGCTGCCTGAAGAAGGACTTAGTCTGGAGATAGAAGACCCGCTGCCGCGACACGACGATAGTAGGGAAGAGGATCCTATGTTGAGAGAGGAAAGAGATGAAACGCAGGAAGAACGAGCAGCGTCACGAAAAATGATGCTTGACGCTGGCTTGAATCCGAAGTTGGAACTCAACACGATCAACAAGAATTTTGGTAGGAGTGGACCCTCCACCAGCACATCAAGTAGAACTTCTATGATGTCGACCTCTTCAGCCACTAGAGGAAGTACAAGGAGTCCTCGTGGAGGCAGTCAAGCTTCATCCGCTTCTCAGCGAGAAAGAAGTAGTAGGAGGGCTGCAAGGGGGCATGAGGGTGAAGCAGAAAAGCACCTGGTCCATGTAGAAGGCGAAGACGATGAAGATGTTGACGAGGAAGTTGAGATCCAGTTTCGCAATGACCTGGCAGAAGTGGAACGGCGGGAGGACGAATACATTCCTAGAAATAGGGAAATAGAGGTGATGCACAAAGAACAACTCGGTGATGGTGCTGAACATTTCGATGAGGTTCCACTGGAGGACGTCGCACAGGAGGGTCATGAGCTTGAGCAGGACAACATGATCGACAAAATTGCAACGTCGGCAAGTACAACCTCTTCTAGACCTTCTTCGTCTAGTACGAGTAAAAAAAGCACCACATCAACTACTAGTAGAGCAAGTACTAGTACTAGTACTAGAACAAACAATAGAAGTAGCGCGAGCTCCTCAACATCTAAATCTAGAACATCTAAGTCTAGTAGAGAAGTTGATGTTCTTGTTCCTGGGGAGGATGAGCCTCCACCGCCTCCGCCAGTCGATGATGGCAAAATACAATCAGTTGTGAACATTTCTAAACTAGTGAAAGAAGAGCTTGGGGAACAACTACTCCTAGCTGCAGAGGAGAAGTTTAAGGCGACGTTTCGGAAAAGTGCAGATGAACAAGCAGAAGCACAAGCTCAACAGAAGATGAGTACGCAAGATGAAAACGATAATCAGTTAAGGCTCAAATACTTATACAATTCATTTCTACGTCGAGCCGTTTCCCCCTATTTCCTCCTTAGGATCATTCATTGGGAGAAATGTACGCAAGAAGTGAATTGTTTCAGCTCTAAATCAGGACGATGATGACGAAGAAGAAGAGGAAGATCATTCTGACTCAGCACCTGATCAAGGTGGTCTTGATGATGAGGTTGAGAAACTGAAAAATCGTCTCCGGCAGAGCACAGATGACATGATTGACCTTCCGCGCGATGTAGTGGTCGATATCAGCAAAGGTATAATCAGTAAGGAGACTGCTTTGCTCCCTATGGACGCACTGCGAGAAATTGTGGATGAAGAGAAGGGAACGAGAACAAGAACCTCCGTAGAACAAGAGGAACAAGCTACAACTTCGTCATCCTCATCTTCTACATCCAATAGAGATCGAATTCGAAAGTCATCATCTTCTCGCAAAACATCTGCGAAGAAGTCTTCGAGATTTACCAACCTCTCCCCTAGACTCAATGCCGAAGGGGATGCTGACGTTTTACCGAGGTTTGGAGGTACAAGTACAACTAGAACAAGTAGAGGTGGTTCTTCACCGACTGCAGAAGCTGCCCACTTATTGACACAAGACGTGACAGCGAATATACTCTTAAGGGTTGAAGATCTATTTCATTTCTACAAATAACATGCTTCTCTCATTCTCCCTGAGCCATAGCTACATCACTGCTATCCAAAAGTTTCCTCCTGACGAGCATCGACGCTATCCAAAAGAAATGAAATCATGTTTCAACAACTTTTAACACCCACGGAAAATGGTGGAGCAGATGGAACACGAAGAAGATTCAGCTCTTTGGTCGTTGATAACTGGTACGAAGTCCAGGCGATGTTAAAAGAAGGAAAGACGGCTGAGGAAATCGAAGAGCACTTGAACGAATCCGGAAACACGAATACAACATCAGCTGACGTCACTACCTCCCCGACGATGAGCAACACCAATGCTGGAAATGAATTACGTGTGTCTTCCCGAAACCGACAAGTACCATCACCACGGTTTCAAGCAGAAGGTGCAGCACCAAATCATGCAGCACCTCCAAAGACGAATGTAGCCGCGACTGGGCCGCGAGACAAGAAAGCGAAGGCGAGCGGAGGAGACAAGAAAGTAGCTGCGAAGGCGAGCGGAGGAGACAAGAACAAGAGGCGTTACTCATCTATGGTTGCCGATAATTGGGATGCAGTGCAGGAAATCCTAGCAAACGGTGCCGGCGAAAATGAGGTGTCTGCCTACTTGCAAAAGATAGATCCACAAGCTGAAAAGCGTGTTGATTCCTCGGCAAGATTGCATGATAAGGTACTTGTAGTTGTACTACTTCATGGTGGTCTACAATCAATCTACTTAGTAAATACTTTCATCTTTCTCTCTACTATGCATCTTGACAAATATTTAATATATAATCATTGATTTTTCATTTTCTACAGGAGGGGAAGCGAGAGGAAAATCGTCAATTGATAATGTCGGCAATGGGCGGAGGTGCATCAAAGGCTCGGCAGGAACTTAGGGCACCGGCTCAAGCCAAGCAACAGCAGCAGCAACAGCCGCAGCAACAGAAAAGTTCGCCACGACAGCAGCAGAAAAGTTCGCCACAACAGCAGAGCCCGCGTCAGCAGGGGACGCCGAAAAACACAAGACAGGAGCCGCAACCACAGAAGCAGAAGCCTCAACAAGCCCCAGACGAAGACGCTCGGAGGCGACGACAAGAAGATCGGCGAGCTTCTGATCTTGTGTTTATAGATGAGCCTGACGTTCGGGGGCGACGACTAGAAGATCGGCGAACTTCTGATCTTGTGTTTATAGATGAGCCTGACGTTCGGGGGCGACGACTAGATGAAGATCGGCGAACTTCTGATCTTGTGTTTATAGATGATCCTCCCGATAGAGGTTCTTTTACGGCTTCATCAGGGAATCTTCCTCCATTTTGAAAAGCATCAATCTTCTTGAAGCACTCTTTATTAAGGGAAAATGGAGAGACCCTGACCCAAGAACACGAAGATGACTCTCAAGATGAAAGATTCCAAGAATGAGAAGTCTCTAATTCATCTTATCCTCCAAAGAACATTCCCATTGATAGTGGAAGAAGCAACAGTAGCAGAGGCAGTGAGCTAGAGAAGGCCCTTCAGCTAGAGGCTCGCAGGGTACACGAAATGGAGCGACAGATGCAAGATCTCGCAAAAGCAAGTGAAAAAGCCTTGCTAGAAGAAAGACAGCTCCGGCAAAAGCAGGTGGACGCTGATAGAGACCTTTTGTTAAGGCATCATTTCTTGAATAGGTTATCTTCTTCGGAATGATCCATCGTAGAAGTCTATCCGATTAATTGAAGCTGGATCCACTCCTATGCTATCCTAGGGATAACTGCCACATAGTACTTCTAAACTACAACATATTGCTAAACCTAGTACTAGGAAGAACGACGACATACTATTGAGCAGAGAGGAGAGCCAGAGCTCTTCCTCTTTCTTCTTCTAATCTAGGCAAAAGAACTGAGGGCAAGAAAAGAGGTGGAGAGAGAACGACAACAGGCGCTAGACGATGCAGAAGATGCCATACAGCAGCTTGAGGAAGAAAGGGAGCGTTTCGCACGAAAAATGGAGGAACAGGCGACAAAGGGGAGTGCCATCATAGGTCAAGGCGGAATGTTCGGCACTGTGCCGAAATTGTTGCAGCGCAATATATTCGGTTGTGCGATGCATGGGATGATGGGATGTCATATTATGGCATACGTCGCATAACACGATAACACGAGTACTACCAAGAAAGATAGTACTCATACTCTCATGATCATCATCACCATTATCATCTTCACCATTATCATCTTCACCATTATCATCTTCACCATTATCATCATCACCATTATCATCATCAGTACTCATGATCATCATCTTCATCACCATTATCATCATCACCATTATCATCATCACCATTATCATCATCACCCTCATGACCATCTTCACCCTCATCATCACCCTCGTCATCATCACCCTCGTCATCATCACCCTCGTCATCATCACCTTCGTCATCATCACCCTCGTCATCATCACCTTCGTCATCACCCTCGTCATCATCATCACCCTCGTCATCCCTTTCCTCTAGTCACTCCTCTTCATCATTGTCCTCTCCTTCCTCGATGTGGCAGTACTATTGCAGTACTATGAATGTATTGTGATAAGCAGTAGTAAGTATAAAATTCAATCTTCACGATCCTCTTCTTCTAATCTTCTCTGTGGTTCCGGAGCGAAAACAGTAGCACGCAATGTTCCTCACATGTTTTTCCCAACTTCTTCGCCTTTTCTCGGTGTGCCTAATGCAGTGATTGGGCCAACGCACATGGGATTCGTTAGGTCCGGGCTCATCCTGCAACAACAAGGACCGGCGAACTACACACAAACCTGCAGGAGAGTTAAGAACTGATGATGACTTCAACATCTTCATCTTCTCCTCTACATCTTCGTCTTGGACAAGGGCTTAGTAGTTCTTTGAATACAAATAATAATTATCAATCATGAGCAACAAGATCAACATGGAGATCCTTCTAACTCGGAGTTGCAAGCAAGCAATCCAGAGTTTCAGTTTCCTGGCAATGCTTTTGTGGTTGGCGGCGCCATCGACATGGCAATGACTTCTGCAAGAGAAGGGTCACATGCTCCAGCTACAGGGGGAGAAGCCGGAACCGGAGCAAGAGCAGCCGTAACGGGAGCAAAAACAGGCATGAACATAGAAATGAAATTCACAGGCATAACCGGATTAAGGCTTGAAGAAATCCATCTTCCCCAGCATCTTCGTCTCGTTTTCAAACGGGAAAAGGGCACGAAGATGCTCATCAAGATGGATTTCTGCAAGGTCTAACTGGAGCAAGAGCAGCAGCCGCAGCAATCAGAGCTAGGCGGGAAGGTGAAGCCGGACACGATGAAGAAGAGGGAGATAATGGAGACGAGGGAGAAGGATACGAGCGAGAAGATCACCAGGAGATGTTACGAACGCGGAGCAGGATATTTAAGTACTTAGATCTAATTGAACACATTAATCGTAATTCTAATTATGACATTTTTTCTACATCATACGTAGAGGTAGACCACCAAATCCGAAACACCTCTACTACTTCTTCTAAACATGCTCTTTGATGAAGAAGGCGATGAAGATGAAGAACTACAGCACTTCTATCCGGTGGAGGATATGATCGAAGAAGATACTGGTAAGCGCATGATTAGAGGAGAAGGTTCCGCCGGATTGCACTTACCAGCAAGAGCACCAGCAAGAGGAAGAGGAAACGCGCCCGGCCAAGCCCAAGCGAAACAGCGGCCCGGTCATTAAGGACTGAATTATTCGGATGAGAATCAGTCGGGTAGTCGTAGTGGGTCTGTGTAGTAAGTCAGCTCTGCTTTTAGGTCACCAGACTTGGCCAAATATACTGATCTTCACCATGATCTCTAAAAAAGAGCACAAGCAGACGAGGGGGACAAAAGTGCAGTTTCTGTAGCTGCCAAGAGTGCAGCTGTACCGGCCAACAGTGCTGCACCATCGGACAAAAGCGGCACATCTACCCCAGCAGCACCACAGGGTCAGGGAGAAGGTACCGGAAGAATGAGGCTACCAGCAAACCCAACAGCAAGGGCGGGAGGAGGAAACGTGCGTTCCCAAGTGAGGGCGCGTCAGGATCGTTAAGGATTGAATCAGAATGAGTCTGAGTGTACTTAATTGGTTCTTCTAAGGATTGATAAATGTATGAGAACAAATACTTAAGAGTTTGATGAGTCGTGTGTGTACCTGGAGGTTGTACTTTTATGTCATGCGGTTCGTTAGGTAGTTAAGCTACAAGAGCTATGACATGGGGCGAACGGCGCATGATTTTAGTAGTATTTTTTGACGATATTTTTGCTTTGGTTCTTGCTTGTGCTTGAGGTAGTTGGTTCGAGCTTTGTCAAGAACTCATCATCTCGTAGGATGACACCGGAGTCTATGATCACATCCAGATTCGCCATCTCTAAATAAAAAGAACACCACCGAGGGAACCAACTGCAGCAGACGAGGACAGGAAAAGTGCTGCATCGGACAAAAGTGCTGCATCGGACAAAAGCGGCACATCTACCCCAGCAGCACCACAGGGTCAGGGAGAAGGTACCGGAAAAATGAGCCTACCAGCAAACCCAACAGCAAGGGCGGGAGGAGGAAACGTGCGTTCCCAAGTGAGGGCGCGTCAGGATCGTTAAGGATTGAATCAGAATGAGTCTGAGTGTAATTGGTTCTTCTAAGGATTGATGAATGAGAACAAATAAGAGTTTGATGAGTGTGTGTACTTGGAGGTTGTACTTTTATGTCATGCGGTTCGTTAAGCTTAAGCTACAAGAACTATGACATGGGGCGAACGGCGCATGATTTTAGTAGTATTTGTGATTCTGATAGATATTTTTGATGATATTTTAGCTTTGGTTCTTGCTTGAGCTTGTGCTTGAGGTAGTTGGTTCGAGCTTTGTCAAGAACTCATCATCTCGTAGGATGACACCAGAGTCTATGATCACATCCAGATTCGCCATCTCTAAATATAAAGAACACCACCGAGGGAACCAACTGCAGCAGACGAGGACAGGAAAAGTGCTGCATCGGACAAAAGTGCTGCATCGGACAAAAGCGGCACATCTACCCCAGCAGCACCACAGGGTCAGGGAGAAGGTACCGGAAAAATGAGCCTACCAGCAAACCCAACAGCAAGGGCGGGAGGAGGAAACGTGCGTTCCCAAGCGAGGGCGCGTCAGGATCGTTAAGGATTGAATCAGATTGAGTCTGAGTGTAATTGGTTCTTCTAAGGATTGATGAATGAGAACAAATAAGAGTTTGATGAGTGATGTGTGTACTTGGAGGTTGTCTTTTTATGTCATGCGGTTCGTTAAGCTTAAGCTACAAGAACTATGACATGGGGCGAACGGCGCATGATTTTAGTAGTATTTGTGATTCTGATAGATATTTTTGATGATATTTTAGCTTTGGTTCTTGCTTGAGCTTGTGCTTGAGGTAGTTGGTTCGAGCTTTGTCAAGAACTCATCATCTCGTAGGATGACACCAGAGTCTATGATCACATCCAGATTCGCCATCTCTAAATATAAAGAACACCACCGAGGGAACCAACTGCAGCAGACGAGGACAGGAAAAGTGCTGCATCGGACAAAAGTGCTGCATCGGACAAAAGTGCTGCATCGGACAAAAGTGTTGCATCGGACAAAAGTGCTGCATCGCACAAAAGTGCTGCATCGGACAGTAGAAGTGATATCTCTGCTACCTCCCCAGCGCCACGACCACCACAGGGTCAAGGCTCCCCAGTGCCAGACCCACAGGCTCAAGGAATCTTGGGTAACGCTAATAATATTAATATGGCCTTAGACACATCCAACAAGGCAAAGAACACGTCGCCAGGTCGTACCGGAGGTGCAAGGAATCTTGGTGGAACTGGAAGTTATGGCAAGAACATACTTCTAGGCTATCAACATCATTCATAGGAGGTTTTAGTTATATTTTTGTATGATTGTGAACAAGTTGATCTTGGCCGTAGAGCCGCGGACCTTCAACCTTGAACCTTGATCTTGATCATCCACAACATTAAGAACACGAACAGCATGCCACATCATACCTAGCAATCTATCCCTATGTAGTAAGTCTTAAAGATTCCACCAGCTCCAGCACCACGCTCCTTTTACAAGAGAACAACTACATCAATTGCCAGCAAATTATTAGTAGAGCAAACATTCTTCTGTTATCAACTTTCTCATCTACTAACTTACTGCAACTTGTTCGTCGCTGTATAACTAAACTACCCTTTAGAAAAATTAGATGAATCAAAAGCCTACTAGTCATTCTGAATCAGGACCAACAGGAACAGCCGAAAGACCCGCTTACAATCCAACAACAAGCTCCCTTAGCGGGTGCCAGAAGTCGCCAGGCAAATCTTCGGCAAATTGCCGAAGCCTATTCAATAGATTCACACCATCAAAAAAATAATCTGAATCGACTACAGGCACAGCTAGACTCTGCGCAACTTCAAAAACAAAATACAACTCCAAAAAAAAAATCTAATGTCCATCTCCACATCATCAACAAGTGACGTTAAGCCGAGGAGGAAGTAGTGGAGCGAACAGAATAAAGGGAGTGGACGAGGCCTCCAGCAAAGTCGCAGCCGCGATGGCAATGGCGAACATTGAGGACCCAGAAACAGGAGAACTTCAACCGTTCATTGTTATGTGAAATTCAGCCATTAGAATTAGTGGTTATGTTCTTGACGAGAGTAGGAGTAAAGGTAAAGGCAACCAACTACATTCATTGTTCTTGGAAGCAATGAGAAATTTTCTAATGATTCATTCTGAGATCATCTGAGTCGACAATATTTTTCATGTGAGTATCGTATTCTCAATGTCAATACTTCTACATATTTATTCTAATGAAAGGAGAATCTCAGCATTTCAAAGACGCGATGTGAACCTAGCGACTTACAACATTACCACAGGGGTCACTCCCTATGGCGGCAAAATACGGAGATTCCTTCCGACGTATCCGTCTGTTTCTGGAACACGGTATTTTTTGAATCAGATATTATTTTGTTCTCTGACAACGGGGTTAGATAACCTCCTGTGTCATGCTTGCTTGCTAGTTAGAGGTATTAATTTGCATTTGTGTCCTTGCATTCGTTCAATTTCATCACCACGGCTTCTCACCTCCTTTTACATTCTTGTCATCCCTAAACTACAGTACGAGCGGCGACTATTACGACGACGACGAGTACTACGACGAGGAAGATGACGGAGAAGGCGGAGGAGGCCAATTGTTTTACTCTGAGCGTGAAGGTCCTGGCCAATTGATGTTCTATTCAGACGCAGTAGCTGGTGATAAGAAGGCTGTGCCATTGCCTTCTCGACCAGTTGCGAAAAAGGACACTTTTAGTAGTCATCCTAATCCTCGAGCTAACGTAGACGTGGATGATGATGATACGACCAATTCCAAGAAGCAGAAAGATTTGGTTTTGGAGCACGCGGAAAATAAGAACTTTATGGTGAATAGCTACTACATCACTAGTACGACAACTAAGGGCAGCAAGAAGCAGCGCGACTCGAAGCAGAAGGGTGCACACCAAGACCTAGTTATTGGAGGTGATTTCGCAGATATAATTGACGAGGGAGACGGGGTCCCCCGTAATTCTCATTCTCAAGATGATGTATGTGTATCAGTGTCTGACACGACTGACAACCAGAACCAAGAAGAGAAATCCGCGGAGGAGCTAGAGGAGAAAGAGGAAAACAAGCGTTTGCAGATTTTGCTCGAAGACCAGGCGAGGCTTCGAGAACAGATGACCAAGCTGGATTTGAAGATAATGAACAATTTGAAGCTAGTTCAAGATGAAGACTCTCCTCCAGCTGTCGCGGATGGATCCTCAGATCAGAAAGACGACCATCAAGATGAAGAGGAACGTTTTATTCGTGAACCGTGTACAACACCGTCAATTATGGATGAAGAAAGTAGTCTCTACAACTTGCAACAGTCATCTGTGTCTTCTAGTCAGAACGCGCAGGGGGCAGGAACGTCAACATCTTCCGCAACCTCAACTCAAAAGACCACTGGTTCTCCATCTAGAAGAAGTAGGGAATCTTCTACTTCTTCCAGAAATAGAAGTAGTACTTCGAGAACTAGAACAACTCTAGTAGGCAAAAGCCGTCAGACTGTGGAACATCAAGCAAGTAGTACTCGAAGTAGGAGCATCATGAAACAGGAGGCACCATCTAGTACGTCGACCACAACTTCTTCTTACACTTACATTCGTGGTGAAGAAGCTGGGGGTGAAGAAGCAAGAAAGGTACGTATTCCTGCGCGTGGTCCACGTCCAGAGACAGCCTCAAAAGTCCTTCCACTAGATGATCATCAGCAACAAGAAGAGATTACATCCGAATACAAGTTTGCACCATTGGGTCGATATGCAGCAGCATCTACGAGCGTGGTTTCTGCGAAGCCTCAATCTAGTGGCTCCAGTAGTAGAAGGACGACATCTTCCGATTCGAGAACTACAACTACTAGAAATACTTCCACTAGAGCGGCACCGTCAAACAAGAAGAGCAGAACTGCTGCCCCGCAGCAGAAAAGTGGCCGAGCAGCTCCAGGCCCCTCTAGTAGTGCGTCTTCATCTGCGTCCGCGGACAAAAATAACAGACTAGCAGAATCGTACCAAAGACTTCAACAGGCAAAGAAGCGGGTTGCAGCGGTTGCGCGTCGGTCCACTAAAACAGGTGCAGCAGGCAACGCCAATTCTTTCGAGAATACTAGTCTAGCTTCCAACTCGAAAAATACCAGCAAGAATACCAATAGCACTTCCAGCACAACTAGAAGTAGAACGAGTAATAGAGCAAATCAGCAGGAACAACGTCAGAGTGGAAGGTCCTCTGCCATATTAGCTGCCTCGACGTCGTCTAGAAACAAATCGTCAATTACGACCTCAACTACGATCTCCTCTTCTATGAAACAGCGTGAAGGACAACATAGTCATAGAGACGAAGGCAGTAGTACTTCTCACGAGGAGTCGAGGACTTCGAAATCGAAAGAAGACTACAAACGATCTCGTCAGATTGCCAAAGAGCAGGTCAGTGCAGCGACTTCGAGCCCGGAAGCCGGCTCGTTCGAAGCGCAATTGCTAGAGCTTGAACGCGAGCTGTTGAAGAATCGAGAAATGCCAGAAGATTCCGAATTGACTGCATCGCTTCAAGACATTGCGTCGTCGCTTCGGTCGGCGTTGCAGAATAGTGAAGAATCACCGGAAGATGGGAGTGCTTGAAGATTAAGTACTTACCTACGTTAGATAGTGGCACTATTTAATTATTGTAACTAGTTTTCTAACCACTCTGATCAATAATTCTTGTAGTTACCTCAACATACAACCTTCACAATCACGATGGATACCCACAACAACATATTACTAAATCAAAAACATTACGTCAAAATTCAGATTAATGATACTCAAAACTATCAAACATTACGTTAAAACTCAGATCAATAATACTCAGACTCACAACATCGAAGAATTCTCATTAACGATCATTATTTATTATGATACAAAGTCCAGCGTGATCGACGCTCAAAGCACATAAGAAATGAAGGTCTTTGCTGATGAAATTCGAACCAAGTAGATACATAGCACTGGAACACGAACAGTTATTTGCATAAATCTATTTTCTCATGCTTTTCAACACATGATCAATCCAAGATTTAGTATGTTTGTGGAAAGAGAATAAGTAAGAGGATGTGATAGAAGAACGATCATGAGTATCGGTGACATATGTTTTGGGCTGGTGAGATAATCAAGATATTTTGCTGTATCATAGCCTACAGCTTGTTTAGCTGAAGCTTCTGCTACCTCTGTCAAGCCAGGGTGGTGCTGCTGACGGTGAACTCTCTCATTTTTTGCGCAACGGACGTTTGACCCTGCCTGGCCAGGAGAAAGCTGAAGAAGTGCTCCCCTGACGGTTTGCGGCGCCGTATAAGGTGTTCCGACTGACCCTCGCCTGGATGACAAATCGAGTAATGAGCCCTTCGACTTTCGGTGTTTTTTCTTGGGAGGCAGCTGCCACGCAGCTGATGAGATGTGCATGCCGCCTGTCTATCGCTACAAGAGCATTATAGCAGGTATAAAAGACCTGCAGCTCTTATTCACTTGCACTCAGTATCCATTTGTTGTGATAGTAGAGAATACCTATCTACTAAATCCTACAAATCACATATCCTCCTTGATAACAACACACATGTGGCCGTCACCCTCGCATCGAGTATATGGGTCGACCGGGAGGGCGCTCGCCAGCTTGGTGTACGACCTGGGCGGAATAGCCCTCTCGATGCCGGGGATCACATTCGCCCTGATCCGGGGTGGGATCCATGCCACGGCCAGCAACCTTCACGATATTCGTGAGGTCCTGCGCGATCTTGCGCACGAAGAAGGCAGCAAGACTGCCAGGCAATGGGTGCACCATTGGGAAATACTGGGAAAGTTTTACCTCACCTTATGCTACGTAGACGTCAGTGCATGCTTCTCCATCACGCCCATAGGTTGAGGGTCCAACTACTTATCCTATAGCCCCCTCCCAAACCCTTCTAACCATCACGACATGCCGAATTGCGGCACTTGCTCTCCTCCTGGGTATGGGCGATCTCCTTCGGGGTATTCAACCAGCATGCGCGGTCTACATGGTCTGGCAATATGCGGAGATCACCCGGAATACAAACGGACTGATGGTGGCCGCCTTCCGGGCCAATCGGATCCGCCGAGACACCGAAATGGCGCAACGGAGCACCTTTGCCGACGAAGGTGTCCACAGCCTGCGAGCCCGTGACGACTGAGTGTGACTCAGTGAGCTTTAGCTGCATATAGACAAGGAAGGAATGCAGCTACCTTTCATCATGATGCACGCGTAAGTAGAGCATGTTGACATCTTCCAACGAGACAACCTTCTTTTACTGCTCTACAGCTCCTGCCATCATCATGATATTCCTCAATCTTTGACCTGCAGTTGTCTCGCTTGACTCTGACACGGGGTCGAGGTGCGTATCCTCGAACCAACGCATGATGCATGATGTCCCATGAGTGCGTTTTTTCCAAAATGAGTCAGACACAAGACTCCTGAGTAGCATAGGCTACTATCGGTGCAGAAATGATGAGTGCAAGTAGGCAACACTCATCCTCGGTTACCGTCTTTTTCTTTCATTGGAGGAGAGTAAAAGAGCGGGATATAATCACAGAGAGTGCGAGCTGATGAGACAGCAGGATGATGTGGAATTCTCCTCTCCTGCCTTAGGCTGCACCCCATATCTATATTCTACTGTCCCATTTTTGTCCATCAGTAACTGCTTGTTTCTCTCCACATTTTGGCTACTCTCCTTGCTTAGATCAAGTCATTTCTTGTATTCATCACCCTCACGCTGAATTGATACCAAATATGCTATTTGTATCGATCATCTAATGCAACCAACCCGGGGCTTCTCTTAGCAGGGATACACATTCTGACTTGATAGCAAAGTATGAGTACTGGCGCTGCCTCGCTCTCTGGTTTACTTTCGACAAGCGAAGACTCTGCAGAAATGCCGAACACAAAGCGTGGAGCACAGCCAAGCAAACGCCTGGAAAATGGGGCAGGTATCGTCTTCTATTGATGACTCTGCCAAATTATCAGGGTTCCTCCCCTTCATTCTCAACATCCTATTGTGCTATCTTCCCTCATCGCCCATACCCACACATAAGGTAAATCCGTAAATGCGGCGATGAAGTCAGCCAAGATGAAGAGAGGCATGAAGATGAAGAAAGCAGTTGCGAAGGCCTCCGCGTCCCTCTCCATGAAGAAGGCCGCCAACGCATCGTCCAGCTCCTCCACCTCCATCAAGACAATGAAGTCTGCAAAAACGAAACCCAGTGCTGCCAAGTCCTCCACTACCAACAAGTCCGCCGCAGCCGCAGCCAGTGACGACCACCAAGCCCTCATCGAACAGAGCCTCACACCGGTCTCCTTCGAAGGCTCCCAGGAGCTCTTTGGAGCTCTCTCGGAAAATGAGGCACATCCAGGTTAACAAGAATTTTCTCGTCTATGGATCATCCAAGCTCGCGCTACCGTGTGTAATCTTATCGATCCCATTCCATCGTTAGTATTCTTCCAGCAGTTTGAAAACAGCTGTATCATTGTGCGACCTTAGGCCTTCTGACCCCTTACCCACAGGACGTCAACATGATCGACGTGGAGGATAACTCGCACGCCAAAGCGATCAAGTCCATGGAAGAGAAGCTAGAGATGGGCCAGAAGCTCCCCAACTCGGGCTCACCGTCAACGAAGTCCCCCTCTGGTAGCCCTGCAGAGATCCCGAGTACCGACACGGCCGCCAATGGTCTCATCGCAGCCGCTTCGGCCTCGAACAGCAAGGCCAGCGCACCGAAATCTGCCTGCACCAAGGTCAACACCTCCGTGGAGAAGAATGGCAAGGACGCTTCCTCCCAGGAAGGCATCAACCTGCACTCGCCAATCACGCCGCCCGTCACAGGTATCCCTCATCTTCACCCGGTAAACTCTGTATGCGAAAGATTCTCCCATACTGCAAGGTGTGAGGCTCTGTAGACATTGAGCATTTATATTGATTTTTCCCTCAGTTTGTTTGTATACAACCATCAACGACTCCATCTATCGTGTTTTATAGACACTTCAGTATTAACACATGCCCCAACTACCTGCTCCCAGGTGCGAAGCAAGCCCTGGGTGGCAAGGCTTCCGTCCGCGAAAACCTTGCCAGCAGTACCCAGCAAAGGGGTACCCCTAGAGCTACTACGTTATCTGAGGAGATCAAGCGAATCCAAGCGAAAAAGGTAGTGGTAGAGGCGAGCCTGCCTTTTGTCCCAGAAAAGGCCTCGTCCTCCTCGCTTTGTTTCGTTGACCTCACGACCACAAGTAGGCCCCATCTTGGGGCCACGCAGGAACCTTGTGCAGGAGTAACATCAACCAAGGACAGCAAGGGCGTCGCCTGTGCTGGCCTACGAGCTAACGCAGCGCGTGAAAACCCTGCACCCTCAGCGGCTGCGCCCAGCTCGGGGCCAGCCGCGCCGGGTAGCACAACCGAGGGGCAGACAGCCGCGCGACCCCTCCCGGCGGGAGGAGGGCCCCCAAAGGGACCCTCCACCCTGCTAAATAGGGCGAGGCAGGCGAACCTGCCCCCAGAGTGGCCGTGCTCAGGCCTGGGGAAGGGAGACAAGGGTGTCCACATCCACCGGCCTCCCCCCCCCAAGGCCCAGCCGCCACTCCCTCACCCTCTCTGCTGCTCGGGCTTGTGGGGTGTGCACAGCCCGCTTGACTTCATAGTGGACCTTGAACACGAAGAAGCGGCAGCAAAGCTGAGGGATGAGAGCGAAAACGTTAGGAAACTTGAGTCCGAGCACCCTAACCTTTTCGAGATCAGGCTCCAGGACAAGTCTTTTGCGCAGTGGCTCGAGCTGCTCCGACAATTCGACAGCGTCCTGAACCAGCCTGATCTGGCCCACCTGGCTCCTGACCTTCTCCCGAGCAGGTCAGCAACAGGCAAGCCCCCGCCCCTCCTACGTCACATGATCAAAGAGCCTCGCGACTTCGCCTTGTCGGTAGTCTACGGGGATCTCTTTGACGAAGGAGAAGTCGACAAGCGTCGGCCTACCACAGATGCGCACTGCCTGCAACCGCTTCACTTCCAGTCTAGCCTGGAGCTGCGGCTCGCATACAGGTCGTCAGAAAAGGAGCTGCCAGGCATCACTGACTACATCGTGACAGGGAAATTCCTTCTCCCGATGTACTATCAGGCCATCTTTGACTACCGCTGTTACAACAGCGCAAAGGGTGCGGCTGAGCACTTCTTCATGATTCAGCAGCCAGACGTCAAGACCTGGCTCCTGCGCATGAGGTATGCGCTCTGTCAGGCCGAGGGAGTCTGGGGAATCATCCCCGAGTCAATCATGGACGTGTTCCGCGGCGTCTTTGGTAACCTCACCGAGGCGACCAAGGAATGTCAGCGGGGGATCCATGTAGAGCTCATCCACTGCCTCACTCAGATCCTTCGAATAGTCTCGAGCTATGTAGGAACTGATGGAAAGCCTAACAACCCCAAAAGCCCAATAGTCATCCCCTGCGACGCGTCTGATGTCTTCAGGAAGTCGATCCTGAAACAACAGTCCTACGCCTTGGCGTACAGGCAGCGGGGTGACACTTGGCAGGAGATCAAGAAAGGGAGGGAGCTCGCGCGTGCCCCTCTGCCGTACGAGAAGCAATCCTCAGACGAGGATCTTCTCGACTTTTTCTCCTCCGCCTCGTTCTCTGTTGAGACGTGGCAGAAACTTCGCCACCGAACAGGTGCAACGACTGCACCGGCTGACAAAGCCGGTAGCGTCACCACCTCGTCGGACGAGGACTCCTCCGAAGAGGAGGATGACTCTGATGGTGTCAGTGTGAAGGAGGCCTTCTCGGACTCCGAGGCCTCCGATAATCCCACGACGAGGGCACAGGACAACCTAGGGGCCACCCCCCCCGGGAATGACCAGAGCCCACCGTCCAAGCGCCAAAAACAGGCGAAGATGGTCCAGGCAAAGCAGCCCGACCTTGCCTACCCAGGGATGCGAGGCCCCAAGAGAGCACCAGTCGAACCTCTTCCAGCCGCAGCTTTTGGAAAGAACTCCCAAAATCTGTGGGCCGCCTCGAAAGGGGTGGCAAAAGGGAAAGGAAAGAAGGAACACCCCACAGGACCGTATTACCCGAGTCCTTATGCTCCCTTAGAGCAGGGGGATGAGGAGGACGGGACCGAACGGGCCCGACAGGCCAACAGGGCCCGCGCCTTTGGTGGCCTGCCGACCTTCTACCCTCATGCTCACGTTGGTCCTTACCTCCCACAGGGTGGCTACGGCACAGACGACTTCTACTACTCCACAGCGAATGGTAGAGCTCTCACCTTTGGGCCGACGGCCATGAAGTGTGCTGTTCGAGGCCTCCCCCTCGTTGAGGACCCGGTCCCCTCGAACTATGACCCTGACCTCGTCACGTTTGAGGAGGAGGCCGCCATACCTCTGCAGTCCCTGCACCTTAACGCGAACATGCCCTCCCTAATGGGCTCCTCTACCCGACTTCTCAACCCTGTCGTGTGGAGAAAGGTAAAGAGATTCGCAAAGGCAGCACTGGGCTGCAAGGTGCACCTAGAGGTCCCGCTGTCAGAAACGCGGAACGCGGCTGCGCTCTCCCTCCTTCATAATGAGCAAGCAATTGCCCTCGTGAAGTCGAAAGAGCTAAGCGAAGACGTTCTCCGGTTCGAGACATATACAGACGCACTCACACTGCTCTCGATCAATCGTGTCTCCATGTTCTTGCAAGACCAAAAACCTGAAGACGTTGTCAAGGACCTTCACACGGTCCCGTACGAAGGTAGTGATCTCAAGAACGCAATGCGAGACATTGTGACGGTGCTAGGGGCGTCGTCGTTGTTCCAGAAACACACGATTAGCCCCTCCTTCTTTGGACTGCAGACGCACACACTCACGTCAGCAATCCACACGAGTGAGAAAATCCTTGGCGCGGTCGTCACTATGACTGACCGCCTCAGGGAATTCAACAGCTCACACCACAAGAAGCTGACTGAGACAGTCAAGAGTGGCGTCCCCATCGTCCTAGTGCTTGCGTATGCAGCAGGTGCGTTTCGCAAGAACTTCCAGGACTACAGCGAACTCAAGGAAGAAATTGCCGCGGTCCCACTCCTTGAGCAACACCTGGCGCAGACAGATCAAGTCAGACTGATCTCGTCTGTTGCTGGCTTCCTCAAATCGCCGGGCCTTGCTGTCACGCGTGACACTCTCGTTGACGCTCTCCTTCGGATGCGCTCCACCCTCCCTAGAACCAACAAAGATCTGGATCGGGAGAGTAGGGGCGCACTGAAAGACAGCGGCGCAACTGCGCCACGGACAAAGTCCACGAGAGACCGCGACAACAGCAAGAAAACCCGACGGGGCAAAAAGCCACTCAAGGCAAATGCCCCGCCTCTCCCTCGAAGCAGACACGACCGCGAAGCATCTCCAAAAAGAGAAGCCGAACAGAAAAAGTTTGCACCGACGCAGCGCCACACAGATTTCGTCGCCAAGTGTCGCAAGGTCATCTGCCAACAGACGGACCTTGACGACGTTGACGAGAAAGAAATCTGTATACCGCATCTTGCAAACCTGCTGCAACTAAAAGTGGAGGTACCTCAGCTTTTAGATGCAGCTACTCACGACCGCCGGCACTCCTTGCCCGGCCGGTCAACTCATAGTAACCTCGGGACCCTCCTTTGTGTCTCCTAAAAATATACGATACCCTTTCTCACATCCCCCCTCGTGTTGCTGCTTACCTCTAATCATCATCCACTCCTCACATCCTACAGGACTCCAGAGGGAAGATGATACGCCCGATATGCACGTATCGTAACTGCGCGCTCCATCGGAAGACAGGGCAAGTGGCGAAAACCACTGGGAAAACAAGTGGCGGCTCGAAGTGAGTGGACTCTTGCTTCGTTGTTTTCTGCATCAATGGTGATGCAGAGGGAGCGTGGCCCAAAGACAGGATCAACGACCGAACCGGACCTGCGAGCCGTAAGTCGCCTCGTGGGCGTTCCCCCCCTCGCTCCAGTGGAAAAGGTGCGTCTCTACATCTCTACCCTTGTTAGCTCGTATCTTCACACATTTTCGCAAGGCATAACTCCGCTGATCTCCAGTCTACATCTTTGTCTCCTGTACCTCATCCATCCAGTATCATCATCGGTGATCCATCAAAGTCATCTCTTCCTCACTCTCTCTCAGGCTATAGCAGCTGGGCCGCGGGAGATGACAGCTTGCAAGATGGGGAGTAAAACAAAATACCTTTGCGACAGGGGGGAGTCGCCATGCACTTTTGAAGAGATGGGGGCCAGTAGTACTGGCCCAGAAAGAAACAGTAAACCTGGCAGTGCCAGGATAGTAAAACAACAAATTTTTTAAATAAAAGCCAGGTAGTACCTGGCCCTGCCCTTCCTCTGACACTCAGGGGAGGCAGAATTAGTAAAAGTATCTTTCTGTCGCCTAGGCGACAGGCAACCCCTGTTGCGGTGGAAAGAAGGCTCCTGAGCTCTTTCCGCCGGTGAAGTTCTCCTCCAGGCATAGGGACAGCGCGTCATTGTTGGAGCACAAGATTCAATCACAGACAGTCTGCTAACTCTTAGACGTGCAAGTCATCGAGATGCCTCCATGCCTTTCTTTCTGACTGGATCATGAGTCTTGACGCATGGTAGTCGGGCGCAGTGTGTGTTTTTTCTCCGTGATCGCCCCACGCATCGGTCCTCGGTCTATATCGGGTAAGATAGTGTCCACATAGCCGTGCTTGTGAAATCACCAGGGTGCCTCTGCTTCAGCCTATGCAGCTTACATTCCAATGAACAAACTCATCACACGTATATCCCCCTTTCCGTGTAATGTTGACTTCGCATCAATAGAAGCACATCAGCCAATTTTTGAGTGCTTTGTGTACACACTGAAAGTTCACGTCTCTGATCTATCTGGTCTCTCTGTGCCTCTGAAATCCTGAGCACTCATGTCCATCCTCATTCGGAATGAAATCGGGGCTTTCTAGGATGGGTGGCTGTGATCTTCTTGATAGCGATCTCAAAAATGCCCTCCTGAAACAAGTGCAGCGTGAGGTACATGACTTGCCCCCTTAGATCCGCCCTCACATCCATACTTCCCGTAGATCCTATCCTCGCGAACGCGAGCGCCTCAGTAAGCTGTTATGTCGATGTTTGCCCCTTTTGGGAAAATAGGGTGGCACTACCAGACAATAAGTGTAAAATCTTCAAAAGTCCACCAGTAACCTCGATCATGATTCATCTAAGTCTCCTACTTCTGTGATTCATCTACCCACATCTGTAGGAGGCTGGCACCAAGTGCACAGTCCTCGCCATCTCTCAAACATCATTTGCTACCTCGTCATCTCATCTAGTCATCGCTGCGGCCGCCACGGCCGTAGCCTCACAGAAAAATTTTGAAAGTGATCCCAAAAAACTTCCCTTTCAAGGTTGCACTTGCGGAAGGGGAGCGGCTAAATTTGATCCTTGAATCTCTTGAGAAGGAATTCAAAGAATCAGAGAAATGGCAGGCGCGCTCCAAGGAGGACGACCTGCACACCTCGCCGTGTGTAGAAGTCCTCCTGGAACACTGCCAAACCTCAACGGCCTCCACAAAATTCCCAACATCCAGGAGGAGCCCCGCCTTCCTGCACTTCATTGCAGAGAAGGCAGGCTACCTCTGCGACGAACGCAGGGACGCAATCTATGGGGCCAAAGGCTTCATGAGCTGCGGTTTCCCATCCAGTGGCCCGGTCTATCGGTACTACGCCCCTTTCCCCTCTTTCTCTACTTACTTCGCGTCTGACATAGTGCTGCACTCTATGCCTCCCCTCACCTTCAACGCGCCTCCTCTCCAACTTGCCGCACCAACCTCACAGGTATGGCGCGTGGGCTGGGGCCCGGGAGTTGTCGCAAGATGAGGAGGAAGCATGGAAACAATGCCCCCGGTCCACCGATGAAATTGCCGAAATCCTCAACCATCGCCCACCACCTCGAACCGCCCCATACGCCTTCGAAACGCCAGACGTGCTCGCAAGGGGGTACGAGGTCATCGTGGCTTCCTCCGAACCTAATGCCCCAATCCTCTCGCCGATCAGTGACCCCATAGCGAAGCCTGACGGCTCGCTCTGGTCTGGTGGCAAGCGGCTGGAGAAAATTGTTCCAATCTTCTCCTTGGGGCAGAAGTTCAACGAAGCCCAAGGCACCTGGGACAAAATCCGCTCCATTGCCAACGAAAAACGTGACAATGCAGCTGCCTCTGCGATCTCGGAGCACCTCTCACTTCCCGGCCTGCCGGTGGTGGTGGGTGCCTTGCAGTATTGCATTGCCCCAGGAGCGCCCTCCCCTGCCCTCTACCTCAAAAAACAGCTCAAGCAGCAGACTGAGGTGGAAAGAACCAAGACCGTTCTCTGGCAGGACTGTGACAAAATCACAGGCGGCTCGCCGCCCGTGGTCCCGTCACAATCGGGCTTCATACCAGTCGTCTCCAAGATCGACCTAAAGGATGCCTACTTCCAGCTCGCCAATGACCTGGAACCTGGCACCTACGGCCTCTCCTTCTGGAACCCTACCACGGAAAAAGTCGAATACTGCACAACTCCGTCTATCACCTTCGGAAATCTGCACTCGGTCTTTCACTTCTGTGGGAGTGTCAGTAGGCTCATTGAATCGGCATGCCGCAACATCTTTGGCATCCCGGTCCTGGTCTACGTGGATGATATCCTTATCATTACGAGGCCAGACCTTGCGCCTGTCATCCACTCCTTTGTTAAAAAATTCCTAGCAAGGCTGGGCTTCCTCCAGTCCGACCGCAAGGACAAGGTCGGGACACTTGATGCCCCAACTGAAACGTTGGGCATTGATGTCACGAGCTACCTCGAAGGTGTTGTGTGCTCCATGCCTCTCTCCAAAATTTCCGAAGCACTAGAGCTGTGTGATGAGGTTGTCGCCAAGCTCCGATCTAATACCATCACGATGAACGACATCCAGCGCCTTACAGGAGTTGCCACGTGCCACATGTACTGGCGGCACTACCTCCACTGCGGGCCAGCCATGGCCTGGCTCTGGCAGTTCACAACGCCGAAATTCTTTTTTCAAATGAAAGCGTCAAAAGGTCTGCGCCAGTCCACCATCATCATGGCTGGCCTCCTCTCCAACGCTATCCGCAACGGCGGGTCCTCCGGGGCTCTTGCCCTCACTCCGCGTTCACTTCTCGGGGCAGGGATCGAAATCTACACAGATGCATCCCTGTCAGATGATAAAGTCCTCTGGATGGGGGGCGTCTTGTTTGCACATGACATCCCGCACCCCATCCATTGGTCCCTCCGGTACACAATGAAAAAGTCACCTGATAAACTTCATCCAGAGGGCCTCTGCAACCGGGTGATCTACTTCTACGAGCTCCTTGCGATATACATTGCCCTCACTCTTTTCAGGCCTTGGCTCTCCTTTCGGCGAGTAATCGTGCACTGCGACAACCAAGGCGCTGCCTTTGCCTGCGTCAACGGGCACTCGTCGTGCCCACACGGAGCCGTAGTCACTCGTCAGATAATCTCCATGATCCACTCCGAAGGTGCTGTCATGGCCCTTAAGTGGATCAAGTCGAAGAGAAACCCATCAGACGCCCTGACTCGCCCCGAGCTCTTCTCAGACTTCGCCCGAATCACGGGCAGTCAGTGCATGAGTACACTTGACGGACACCAGGACTGGAAGGACAAGGTAAACGTTGCGCACTACCAAATTGCCGCAGAAATTGCCGAGACTCTCGCAAAAACCAACCTGGTGGATCCCCGCGATCATGCTTGCGAACGTGCGGGCGCGGAATCTCGCAAGAGATCCCGCAAGCAGGCTGGCCTTTGAAAAAGAGCTCGCCATCTGGCCCATTGAACTCTCCTTCTGTGCGTCCACAATGGCGAATAGAAGGAGTCAATGGTCCGCGTGGGTGTCCTGGTTCAACAAGCGATACCCTACTCGACAACTCATCATCCCAGACGGGTGCGTCGACCCGTCAAAAATGTTCTTTCCCTCAGTCACCTGCTGCGGTGAGGTGTTTGAATTTGGGAAGCACTTGATCGAGTTCGAGCTCTCTAAGTCATATCACTTGTACATCGGCACAGTCATCCACCGAATGATGGCCCTTAACAAGCTTGACTTTGGCTCCCCCTTTGCGGAAGAAAGCAAAAGGACCATGTATCGTGCGTTGAACCGCCTCCGGGATGAATTTCTCCGCAAGAAAGCCATCCCGGTCCAGCATGATCGTATTCGTGCGATGAATCCCCAAGACAGGGCTCTCGCGCGCGTATGGGTCGCTGGCGCCCTCCGGCTCTCCTCCATGGCCTCCCTCTCTCGGGACCTGTTGCACACGTCGGGGACTGACCCTAACTGGTCTTTCCTCTACGTGCCTGCAATCAAGTCTAACACCTCCGACGACATGTTTGGCACATACATCCCGACGAGGTTGATAGGCCCAGAAACCTTTAACAATCAAGAGCCTCGTCTTCGAAAGCTTGCCAAAGCTGCCAATACTACCCCACACGGCTTCCGCCGAGGGGCAGCCATGGCCCTGCGGCTCCAGCTTGTGAAACATGGTTTCTTTGATGTCAAAGATATCCCGCAGCACGTTTGCGACCGCATATCCGACCACTTCGGTTGGAGCCGGCGCAGCATGGGCGCCATGTTCCAAATATGGCCCGCCAAATACACGCCTCCAAAAGTGAGCCCCCCTCCCGGCCTCTCCTACAAAACAGGGCCGTGAAGGGGGGCACTCAACGGAGTCGTGCCCTCCCCTCTCTTCTAATCTTGAACTACACGAAAGACTGGCACGTCTATACCGGCTTCACCCTGTTCTTCCCGAGGGAGAGTATGGTGTATCTTACAGACGGGGCCTGCGATCAGGCATCCACTGATGACAGCTGGTCTTTCTAGAATTCCCGACAAAAGTCCAGAAAGACCTCCCCAGGTAATATATCTGCACTAAACTGGCGCGCACTTGTCTGCTCATATCGATCAAGTAATCCCTCGCCGAAGGGCGCCCCTCGTAACCCTCTGGTGTCTCGGGCAAGCTCTACAAGGGCCGAGAGAACACGCCTTGTCATGCACCCGAAATCCGGCGCAGGAACGGTAAGGGGGCATGCCCGATGTTAGGGGGCGGCTTGGTTCCTCAAACTTGCTACGAGCCTCTGCCTGAGCTCTCCGGTACACGGGGGGCCCCCTCCCTTCTCGGCTCGAGGGCCGCCGCATGCCACCCCCCCGGCGAAGGGAAAGCCCCCAACCTGAGTGCCACGCACGGAGTGCTGTGGGCCCTATTCCGACGTAAGTGCGGTAAAGCCCATGGCTGAGCACCATGATGCAACACCAGCTCTCGAGCTCGCTCACTCAGGGAAGGAGCTCCCTCCGCAGGGTCAGGGTACGGAAGCGCGTAGCTGCTTCCTCGTCATCAGGATTCACGGACAGCCCATCCAGCCTCGAAATCCGTCTCCAAGCGGTAAGAAGCTGAGTGGGCAGCCCGTTCTAGATCTCAATGACCTCAAGCACGGTTACTTATCAAGCAGACTGGTGCGTATGACTCCCGTAATGGATCCCTAAAAGAAATTACTCTCTCCCTACTGTTTCCGTATCAGTCGCATCTTCATCATGACTCTTCCAGTTGGTATCATCCCTCTTTGTGACGTATATGCTACAATTGGCTTACATCCTCCCAACACCCCCTTTCTCTAATAATCCTGCCTGACGACGCTGGCCTCCGCCTTCACAGCAGCACGAGACGCCCGATCGCTCTTAGACCCTCGGTGGCTGTGTCCTGAGTCGCGTACCCCTGCGAGTTGAACCTTTGGTCGAACCGCAGCAATGCCTAGCAGTCTTCCGCATGGCGTGGCCACTCATGGTTACTGCAGATGCATCTAGTGCTGGCAAGGGATCCTCATTGCCAAGATGTGCAGTGCCTAGAGCCCCGAGAGCTCTGGCACAGAACGAAGTCATGCGCACTGTAGACCTGTCGGGGTGTCATTACATGACTCAAGGTTGGGAATTCAAGCTACATTGTTGTGACCATGAGCCCCATAGGCTAAAACTCAGCAACACCTCGCTCACCACGCATCCAACCCCTGAGCTATCTGCTGTCTCCTAAAAAGCTCATTAGTTGGAACGTCGGTGAGCTGCCAAAGCAGCAATTGTCCGTAAAGTACTGTTCTCCATTGGCCCGATCTCCAATCGGCCGGCCTCTCAAATAGCGAGTGGAGATGGCTACACCTATAGCAGAAGATCTATTAGTTTGTCGGTTACCTTCGGTTGATAAGATCCGATCTCCCGGCGCTTCTGTTGAGAGCAATGTGCAAAGATGATGTCTGTGACACAGCGCCAGCGTGCTGGCGACCAGAAGGTGTAGTGTCGGTATCTAATAAGGATAATCGAACGCAATAATAGTGATAAAAGATATACTCTTACTTCTGCGTCAGCTCAACAAGTCTGTCTACTTACGAGTAGAGCTAGAGTCTTACGAGTAGTATAAATATTCGTAAAAACTTATTCTCCTATCATTTCATTATTCTTTAACAAGTTCTTAGAATTAGAATAGTTCTCAATTCAAACTGTGTAATGTCTGAAAAGTCCTAAACATCATGAACAGTCAGAAGTGCACCATAGCTAATCAGCATTAGAAAACATCAAAAAAAGCTCAAGAACAAGTGCAGCAACGTCATGTAGACGTCGAACATTCTGTACATACATGACCTTGTATTAAGGGAAAAGCTGGATGATCACCACCATAAGTCCTGATCGCCAAACATTGTGATTGGAAGCCTTCTTGTACCTTAAAGTTCATTTGGTTCTCATAAGTAGAAAATATCGTTGAATCGTTTTGTTTCCTATCCTATGGCCTTTGGTCGTGCGATGTTGGCCTGTTCTTCTCAATCGATTGAGCGTGAAAATGTTGATGCTCCTCTCCACCTCTGCTTCTCTTTTACTCGACTCGAAGATAGGAAGATCAGGATCTACTGGTTCTAGAAGATGAAGGATCTTTGCATGTAGTTCATCATGAAGTTGTTCATGAGTATTATCCGGTTCATCTGTTGATCGTCACATCAGCGATCAAGAAAAGGGAGATCAAATCCACGTTGGGAACAAGATCTTATCTTTGGTCCTGATTTTTGATCCTGATGATCCACCAGTATCTATTGATTTTATTTACAGCATTCAACTCGAATGATCCAATGGACGACGACACCATAACTCGAATGCCTCAATGTATGACGTTTATCAGGTGCCTCTGCTGGGGGTTAGAAGCATCATATTTCCCTGCAGTACAACGCCTAATTTAATTACCCCTAAGAAGTGTAGTCCTTGAAGTTATCCTACAACTTGATACCATCATGCCTCTCCCATAATAATTGTCTACATCAACTCATCTCAAATCAACGACTCGCATAGTTTAACGCCAAGGAGGAAAAAATGGCCTCTTCTACTTCCAAGAAGCCTGAAGCTGCTGGACCACTCCTAAGTGCGGTGTGGCAACCAGTGGCAGAGTTGCGAAGCTTCTATACTGGTGGGAGAGCAGTGTCATGGGACGACCGCGTCTATTGTCTTGCAGCTGAAGACCTGCATGTCTTCGATCCGGCACATCTGCGGGTCGTTGCTGGTCGTGAAGAGGAGACACAGCCGTTTCAGCAAGTAGTTAACGATGTTTCATCTGCGAGAGACAAAGACAAGGCTGTAATTCCTTCCCAAAGTCGTGTCCTCATACCAGAAAACCATGATGGCATCCTCCAATTCTGCGTGGGAGCGGTGGTCGTGTCGTCTGGCAGTTCATCCTCGACTTCAGTTTCGGTGCAAGAACTGTTGAGCATCAAAACGTCTGCGTCTGGCTCTTCGGCAAATGGACATGGTCGTCGTCCGTGTCGTGTGATCACTTCGCACCGTTCGAACCTCCTCAAGTGTCATGACGGTGAAACCGGAAAATTGATCCATACCTGGCGTGGTCACGCCGACTTGTGCACCGACTTGGACTGTTCTCCACGAGGCGACTTTTTGGCGAGTTGTGGAATCGACGGCTGTGTCAAGGTCTTTGACTTGGACGGCTTCTTCGCGACACACAGTTTCAGTGGTCACAGTTCTACACCGGTGCTAGTGCGATGGCCAGAGGCGCAAACGCAAGCAGCCAGAACGAGTCTCCTGTCCGCAGACGATGAGGGAGAAATTCGCTTATGGAGTCTGTTGACAAAAACCTGTTTGTCTGTGGTGAAGCAACATCTGGCGCAGGTAGCATACTTAGATCCTTATCAAAAATCTGTAGAGATACCGATAGCTGGAGTCGCACTACTTGCACTTGTTCTCCTGCCTAGCAAGAAGCTTTAGTTTTTTCCCTTTTTGCAATTACAGCCTCAGGAGAAGATACTTTCACTTGCGCTAAAAAATGTTCTTGCTTCTTCTCTTTGTTGAAACTGTATCACCACCTACAATTATCACAGGTAACCGATTTCGCTTTCTTCAACCATGGAAGCAGGTTCGTGTCTGTCGGTCGTGACAACGTGCTCAACTTCTGGGGCTTTGATAAGGACAACACAGGCAAAATCACCCATCAAAAAACGGTCCCCTGCTACGAGGCGGTTGAGGGAGTGTGCTGTGTTCGAGCACAGCAGATGAAGCCTACGAAAAAAGCATCAATCTGCGCTGAACCAGATCAAAAGGAATACCTTGCCACAGTCGGAGAAAAAGGGGAGATTCGTGTTTGGAACTGTGAAACGCGCACGAAAGTCCTGACAGTGGCTTCTCCGCATGGAGCTAAAGGAGCTATGCGAGCGATCTTTAGTACCAACTCGAACACGGATGAACACAAGCGAAGGACGACGAAGACAGGATTTGTGACAGCGGGTGAAGACCATAACTTGATCTACTGGGAGTTGAGCAGGGCGCTCAACAAGCAAGAAAATCCCTTGCAATTGAAACAGACAGCGCGATACATGGGGAACAATGAGGAAGTTTTGTGTGCGCAGTTCTTGGACTGTTGTAGTGCAGAAGATAGTGATGACCACGAGGAAGAAGAATCTAGAGGCGCGTTGGAAGTCCTATGCGCAGTCTCTGATGAGGTGCCGAAGATTGTTGACGCTCAGTCCTTTCGCGTCGTCCAGGCTTTGAAAGGCCACTCAGAGGTCGTCGTTTCCACCGCAGTCCGCAAAGACGTGATTGCAACAGGCAGTAAGGACAACACGGTGCGCTTGTGGGACCGCGTCTCCGGACAGTGCCTCGCTTGTCTCAAAGGTCACACGAACTCGGTTCTTGCGATCTGCTTCCCGAACAAGGCGGAGGACGTTTTGTTCTCTTCCGGAGCCGATAAAACACTGAAGATGTGGAAGCTGAGAGAGAATCCTACTGCTGGGGGAACAGGATCTTCAGGCGACGCCTCTCTACCCCTACTCGCCTCTGCTGAGGTCACGCGACTGGCACATGACAAGGACGTCAACGTGTTGGCTTTTGGACCTCGAGGCGACAAGATGTTAGCTACAGGAGGCCAAGACAAAGCGATTAAGCTATGGAGTTATCCTAACCTTGACTTGCTAGGAGAAATGACGGGGCATCGCAGAGGCATCTGGAGTCTCTGCTTTCACCCGACGGATAAGGTACAGCTTTGTTTGTCTTAGCTAGTATAAAGTTGATGCGCGTGTGCTCTTCCTCTTCTGCGCACCACGATCTCCTCTTTTTCATTGGTTATTCTGCTCTTGTGGTTCGTTCGCTCAAGTGGATACTTTTTTCATTCAAAGTCAAATAGACGTCATCTTGACCTTCCAATCTCAGGTGCTCCTTTCCGGTTCCGGTGACGCCACTGTCCGACTTTGGAACCTAGACAATTTCACAGCGCTGAAATCCTTCGAGGGTCATGGAGGTGCGGTGCTTAATGTGAAGTTCTTAGGAGCTTTCGGCATGCAGGCGATGTCTACCGGTGCTGACGGTCTTGTCAAATTGTGGCAAGTTCGAACGACTGACTGCGCACAGACACTCGATTCGCATGAAGGAAAAATCTGGGGAATGGATGTGGTTGACGTTAATGAAAAGGTACTTCAACTGAGGACGAAGGAAAAAAATGGCGAGAACGGAGACACATCTTCAAAGGGCACTATGCGACCAGTGATGATTACTGGTGGTGACCGTCTTGTCCTGTGGAAGGACTGCACGAAGGAAGTGAGTGAAAAGCAATGCCAAGAGGACGCCGCCAACCGTGTACAACAAGCGGAAATCAAAGCCCTTGTCGCCGAGGAGAAGTACGACAGAGCCTTAGCTCACTGTCTCAAGCTGAACCGACCTGGCCAGATGGTGGAAGTGTTCAACACTTTGGGTCTTCGAGAAGCGGAAGCAGCTGTGATGCATCAGGAAGAACAAAGATATTTGCAAAAATTGGCGAATAAAAAGGCAGTTGAGGAAGCAAAGGCTTCAACATCTAGGTCTGAAGAAAGTCCGAGTCGTGAGGAACGAGAGGACGAGAAGGCTGCCTCGAACGAGATTTTCGATGAGTTGCGTGCCAAAGCTGCCGCAGGTGAGGAAGACAAGCAAGTAGAAAACGAGGACCAGAAAACGAATGAAGACGTCGTTGGCATGCCACCTGCTTCTTCACAGGATGTTGACGAAGAAGAAGAGGACGACGACGACTTGGTTGTTGACGCAGTCGTTGTCGACCCAGCAGTAGTCTTCGGGAAAAAAGCGGCAGCTGCGCTTCAGGCAAGCAGTCCAGGAGCATCTCAGAGCGATGAAGAAAAGGACGGAGCAACTACTGCTACTTCTGCGGCTTCATTACCTGCATCCAAGTTTTCTCTTGCATCTTGGCTGCGTAGTCTTAGCACGAATGAGATTGAACAGTTGGTCGACTTCCTCACTCGTTGGAACGCGAATGGTAAGACTGCGTTGCTGGCCAACGTCGTTTTGCGTGAGCTGCTCCGTTGTCGAGAGCGCGCAGAGCTGGCTAGAGTTGAGAACTTTAACCAAGTCGCCAAAGCCATCGTGGCCTACGCTGATAAGCATCGTGCGAGGTGGGAGCAGTTACTCAGTAAGACTTATCTAGTGGACTTGCTTTTGCAAAGTAGCGGTTTCCAACTGCGTGAGGACACGGAACAGGGCAAGAGAGCTGAAAAAGCTGAGAAAACGACGAACCGAGTGCTGTTTGAAGGAACCAGTGCGGCGAGCTCACTTGGAGGTGTAGCACGAGGAAGCAGCTCTTCTACAACTATGCAATCTTCACCTGCAAAATTATCAGGTGGAGCAGTATACCAGTCAAGAACAACTCCAGCAGCACCATCATCTGCTGGTGGTGACAACGGAGAAGGGGCAGTAACACCCGAGACACCAGCTGTGGCGTCTAACAAGCGACCAGCGCCAAATACAGAGAAGGAGATGAAGATGCCAAACTTGAATGGTCAGTCGGGTGAAAACAAGAAGAAACTAAAGTCTCAACCCATGAAATCTATGAAGAAAGCGAAGCGATAACGAAATGATCTACATCTACAACTCACCTGATTATATGCAACTTCTTGACTGCATTGAACTGTCTAATGTCAATTGTTTTTAACCAATACCAGACCTTACGCCCGAATAAAGATGAAGTTGACGCTCTCATAGGGGATGTCGTCCTCGCCTCCAGCTAGCTATGCAGCCCGTTCTACTTGTTACTTTCTGTGTTCTTTTCGACTTTGTACCTCTACCTAGGATCAATCGGTTTGGCTGCTTTCAGCCGTCAGATGAAACAAAGATATCACAAGAATGTTCTTGCTTTTGCTGGAGGCGTCCTCTCATAGTAGAAGTCAATGTTCTACTACTTGACATCATAACTACAATTATGTGCTCCAAAACGTCCGAGAGAAGATAGCGTTGCTTTGAGCGCGCCCAAAATCCACGTACTGGCACGACACTGGTAGTGAGAAGAGAGAGGTGGTTCTGATAGTGACCTGTCTAAAAAGTTTAATCTGCAGGACCACAAGAAAATGCTCACGCCAGGTTCTCCAGGATGATCTAACTCGATCGTTCCTTCTGCTTTCCTCGGCTCTTTACAACTTGGGGAATCATCAATTTCAAAAGCAGGAGCGACGGTCAACCTCCACCTGGAACGGCCTTTAAGTGTGAGGGAACAGCATCGGTCTTTCTATCATTCGCATTCACTTGGAGGCCGCGCATCCTACGCGCGGCGCTACCGTTCAGCGGTAGTAGCTTCACTTCTCTTTCATCTTCCCATCACTTCGCACTCGCGGTCAACCTCCACCTGGAACTCCCGTTAATTTCGGTTTCAGAAGAAGAAGCGACTGGCGTTCTTGCTTACTCAAAGGAACGAAACTTCCCAACTGCTACGTCGGCTAGGCAGACCCCCAGACGCAGTCGATTGCCTCTCTAGTTTCGCTAGCAGTTCTCTCTACAACTGCTCCTTTTCTGGTAGAAGTGCGGGTAACATTGCTCACATCAACAACTTTTCCGTCGCCTTCAACATGCTAGTGGCACGCCGTTGCTTTGTCGGGTGTGTGGTCGTCGCTGGCGCAGTAGAGCTTGCTGCGAAAACCAACGAAGCAGCAACTGCAACGTCTTCTTCGTCTAAGAATCAGCAATCTGACGAGACCTTTCCACACAGATATAGGGAGGCACGTCGACATAGGAGGAATGGTGGTACTATTGGGGATGCAGAGGACGCCGAAGATCAACATGATAATATCGTGTTTCCAAGTACTACTAGTACCACATCCAGACGTCAACATGGACACCGAGGACGTCATGGACATGGACATCGAAGGAGTTTTCACCTACAGAAGGAGCCGCAAACAAAACTTCGACAACGAAGAGGGAGCTTTCACAACATGGTCAACCATGTGCCTGTGAGACGGCATGTGAGTCGACGCAGTAGCCCTAGCGGCTCACCTGCTCTCGATTTGATGTGGACGCTTTCGAGGAGAGACGTATTTCTCAATAAATGATCATGTTGACTGGCTATCGCGACATGTTGCTCCACAACATATTAATACCCTCACAAAGAACTCGACAACTACTTACCCACACTATGATTATGCCTCTCTTCAGTAAATCCAGCCCTTAAAGTTAAACCTTCATCGTCAACATGATCATCAGGTTCTCGATACCCATCATCCTGCTTTGCATGAGATTGTCAAAGTTGCCGGTGAAATTGCACGGTCCAAAGATGAGGCGCTTGCTAAGGCAACTGTCCCAGTGATGCAGGATAGTCTGAGCAAACTTGGTAAACTACTTAGCTATAACAGTAGATAGCTAATAAAAAAACTTATTAAACTTCTACTTGTTGCTTTTCTTGTTTTACACTTGATCATCAGGTTTTTTCTTCCTGTTGGTGTTGAAGTTTGATTTCGATTTCTTACCAAGAGTAAGAGACGCAAACCTCGTCCCTCAACATCTTCACAATCTCGTCCAGCCTCTCTCGCTGCTCTTGACGATCCTGGTGCGTCTGATTTTATCTCGGACATGCGAGCACAGGTATGTGCATCAAAGAAGGACACAGAACGAGAGACATGTCAGTCCTTCATGGACGAATATTGTGCCACACGTGGAGACTCAGCCGCATGCAAAGCCTTCATGGGCAGCGACGAGGAAGAGGAGGATGAAGGAGAACCCATCAAAGAAGAAGAGAATGGGGATGAGGAAGGTTAAGGCTGGATGTTCTACTTCTACTTCTTATCGATCCTGATGAACAAGCTTTCATTCCTATGTCATAACGAGAAGAAGACAAAAATGTGTAGCTTCAAGATTTATAAATGTATCATCGACCTCGACGAGCTCGAGATGAAACAATCTCAATAAGAATGTTGCTGGTATATGCTCTAATAAGATGCTGACGGAGACGAAAACGATGGTGCTGCAGAAGATCAGACTGGAGAGGCCGAAAATCCAGGACCGAAGCCAAGCGGGGACCCAACTGGGGACCTACCAGAACAGGGGTATTAAGAGACCTACTGACGAGTACAAGAAGTCTACGATGTTGGAGCTTGATCATGATCTTCACTTTTTGCTTTTCGACGTTTCCTAGTTCTTTTATTTTCAGACTAAATAAATTTACTTATACTACGTGGGTGATTAAGAAAAAAAACTCCACCTCTTCATCGCCCAGATTCGAAGGCGACATGGTGAATCATGTGGATGGTGAAACGCAGACAGACGACTGGCGACGAGAGTTCGGTCCAGGACAGCCAGATACCTATGCTAGCGTATGCGCAGAGCATCCTAATAACGAATGGTGCCGTCTGCATGGCTATGGAGGTGGTTTTCATGCGGCCGCCTATCGCACGTCAAGTGCACTCACGACTACGATGCTGATCGCAGGTGGAGGTGCGTTCTTGCTGTTTGTTGGAGGTCGTATGTGATCTTCATCTTCTTGAAGATGCGGGAGCGCATAAACTTTTGCACGACGAGTTCTCGATTATTTTGTGTTGTATAGTTAGCTCGAAGTAAAAATAAGTAGACGAACTTACAGATAGTTGTAGCTTTCCTGTAATTAGTGGTGCTTGTGTATCTGATAGATTTAGATGGTAATGAACTTGTTACTCGTACGAGTCGATGTTTTCTTTTCCTTTTTCAATTCAGGTAGAAAGTACTAGTTCTGACTGTGTGATCCTAATTCCCGGAGTTGTGTTGTCTTTCGGAAGTGGTAATGCTCTGAAATTTGTTGATTTTTACAGTAATACTGAGTATGATACAAAACAGGTAATGTTGATTTTCAGGCAAAGATTTGTTGATTTTCTTCAGGCACAGGTTTAATGCCGTTGTTTATTTTCTGTACAGACGCTTGGATTATGATTTTTTACGGTTTATCTGTTGATTTTCAGGCAGAGGCAACTCAGGTGAAAAATTGGCACAGATGAAAGCCCACATCAACTAAAGGAAGAAGGAAAACTCAAACACGTGGGGGTGAACTAGATACGTCTAAGTGAGATCCATATGCTTATCAACATCAGAAGCTGGGAAGTAAGCAGTTCGAAAACCAAAAAGGCGTGGGTCCTTCGCTTCCTTTCATCTTCCACATAAAATTTATGCTAGAGCGTAGAGATCTCACTTAATCGCAAGTCCTTGTCCTTCGCTAGGAAAACAAAACGATCTCTTCAGGATGAAAAAAAGGCGATCTTGTTCTTGACGTGATTAAAAAAACGCCATCTTCAAGATCATATTACAATTACATAATCAAAAAAAGTAGGGATCACCAGTTGAATCAAGTAAGATCAAGATGAAGATCCTTTCATGTTCATTGCATTCATGAATTCGGCTGGTTCAAGACATGATCGGCACAGATGCTTGATAAGATCATCAGATCATGAATGATTCTTATAAACTTCAACCTTCTATTTCACCATGTTGGTTGATCATTATGACAAGCAGGATTCATCAATGCTGTTCTTGTTCGGGCGAAGGTAACAAGTACTGCAACTCTAATTGCATGATTTCTCCTTCCTAGTTATGCAACCTAAAAACTGGGTATAGCAGATTCAGATAGCAGGTTGTCTTCTTCAAGTGAGTATAATCTACTAGAGAAAGAGAAAAATGACGCAACTCAAAACGGTGGGCACCGCTTCCGCTGGAAGCAAAAAGGTGTCCAAGAAACGACGACGACAGTTAGAAGCCACTGTCTTCGGAGCTACGAGTGTAGATGATGTCCTTAGAGGGGACGACGACGAAGATGACCCAGATCATGACGAGGACCCAGATCAACAAGTCGGGGAACCAGAAAAGCCTCTTCTGACAGCAGAGGGTGACGCTGCTCGCACCAAAGCCGCATGGGAGGACTCTGACGACGAGCAAGTTGCTGTGGATGTCGCGGGGTCTAAAAAGCGTCTCCGCAAACTACGACGTGCAGAAGAGGAAATCGAAATCGGAGGTAGAACGTACGAAGCGAGACTTCGTGAGCACTTCCGCAAGCAAAACGGAGACGCAGTCCCAGATTGGGCAAAAGGAGAAGATAAGAAGAAAAAGAAGAGCAAGACTGCTGAAGGTGAGGATGATGAAAATACAGAAGTCGAAGAAGATGTTGATCACGACATCGAAGAAGATGCCTCCTCTGACGAGGACAAGACTGGGGATGCAGCAGCCATGCTAAGGACAGTCGACTTCGACAAAGTCCAAGAGGCTCAGGCAAAAGGAACGAAGCATAGTCTCTTTGCGTCGAAGCGCGACAAGAAAATCGGCCTTCTGGCAACTCGTGTTGGTGCTGACAATTTCGCGATCGCTGCACATGGCAAGACTACCGACGGCGCTACAGCAGATGCCACAAGTGTAGAAACCACAACTACTTCCACTGCTCGCAAAGGTGGGCGTAAAACAACGTCCCGCCTTCCAGTGGGCAGTCGTGGTCCTCTTGCGAGTAATGAACTCTGCATGACGCGACTGAAGAATGCGAACCAGCAAGCACCGATGAACTGCGCTGCTGACTGTGTCGATTTTCATCCGAACAGCGAACTCCTTCTCACTGCTGGTCGCGACAAGACTCTACGCCTGTTTGCTATTGACGGCACTGAGAACCCCAAAATCGCCAGTTATCACTTCAAGGACTTTCCAATCATGCATGCTCAATTCCTGCCCGGTTCTGGAGAATCCATCTACCTGTCTGGTATGGGTTCTCTGACTATGCACAAATACGATGTGCAAGCAGGCCGTGTAATGCCGATTTCGCCTTTTCGTGGGAACTCAATGGCCAACTTCGGACGACGCATTTGGGGCTTAGATTTAGCACCCTGTCGTGTCTCATCTGGAGGTGTTTCTTCGTACAACAACTTATGCGCAGTGTCCGGAGAGCAAGGAAAAGTCTGCCTTATCGACTTGCGATCCCATTCTTTAGCGAGGCAGATGACGATGAATGGACCCGCTGTCAAGACTTTGTGGCATCCAGACGGCAAAACCCTTGTTTCAGCAGACTCTAGTGGTGGGATCTACGAATGGGACGTGTCGTCAGGGCGTTGCATCAATTCCTTTAGGAGTGAAGGTGCACTTGGGATCTCCTCTATGGACATTGGCACCATCAAGGGAGCTGTAGAACTAGCGATTGGAACGAATAATGGAACTGTGGACGTCTTTAGAATGTCCTCATCTTCACCTTCATCAAGCAGCAACGAAACAAATTCATCAACGAGGACATCAACATCACCACTTCAACCTGTTGATCGTAGCTACTCCCTCGTAAAGACGTACAAGCATTTGACTGTGTGCGCGACACAGGTGAAGTTTCATCCGCAGTACGAATTGATGGCCTTCGCGTCGAAGTTTGACAGAGCAGCTATGAAAATCGCGCATGCAGAGACGAAGACCGTTTTTCCGAATTGGCCAACCATGAAAACGCCATTTAAATATCAGACGACTGTGGCGTTTTCAGAAAAGAACGGCTACTGTGCGTTGGGACAGTCGAATGGAAAGGTGTTGTTGTATCAGTTGGAACACTATGCGCCAGCGTGAAGATGTTGAAACTTTATCTACTTGAGGATGACTCTGTAGCTGCTGAAAGTGATGAAAAGCATTATCAATCACATCGCACAATCAATGATAACTCAATCTCCGACAACATGATTACGAAAATGCAGCACCTGCTCCTATGATCCTATACAACATAAGGTGGTCAACAATGAGAAAGACATGTTGAACATGTTGACATCAGGAGAACTCTTTCTCTCTTTTTACTGTTTGCATTAATGTGAAGACTTACCCACCATGAAACTGAATCTTTGGCCTTGCAGCTCACCGGATCTCCTGGGGCCTATTGCGAATACGATAGCATGCCTGTTCTCGCGTCATCCGATGCTGAGAGACAAATCGAGTCTAAAAAATTAATTAAATACGTGAGTGTCGTACACCACGACCACAGTAAATCTCTGTCCTTTATTTCGGTTAACATCAAAGACAAAGTTGTCGTTTCAAGAACTGAAACTCCTTCTCTAGTCTCCTTCCATGAATTACAACTGCCTGTGGTCGCGCAAGAGCAAATCGGTTGTAATCATTAAATATGAAGAAGAATTGGTGACTAGTAAAATCTGTTTCCGCTCTCCGCTTCGGTTGTAGTTTTTCAGTCCTCGGCCAGGTAGTTCCCAAAGACCACCCCTCCCCGTGCCCGTCAAAATCCCCACCACCGCTCAGAGATATCATAGCAGGCTGCAGCACAAGCAGAGGCACACACACAAAATGAAAATGCTCTTAAGCGATCAAAAATTGTTCTTCCAACAGTGGTATGATACAACGAACTCTCATTCGCTATACTTGTGATCGAGATTAGAAGAGGACTACATCTAGATGATGAAACTGAAACATTTTGATCATCAAGTAATTTGCTAAAAATATGAATGGAACACGTAGACTACTTGGAAATAAACAACACGAAGACTAGACAAAGGGGAAAGGTCTCTCCGTTATTCCGCTCGTGCCCGGCCCAGCAAGGACGAGCGACTTCTATTCTGACCTACACTTGGCCTGGCGGCCTAGGTCGCAGTCTTTCTTGGACGTACTAGCACGTGCTTTCTTCTTCATTCGACCTATATCTAATTTCTATCAAAAATAAGCTCCAAGTGGACTGCTACTGCAAACAAGAGGACATCGAAGGAGAGGAACCAGCACTAGAAATCGCAATCCCCACAAGGGCAAGACCATGGCGACGGCTTCGGCACCAGGGAAGCGGAAAGCTGATGAGGTGAAAGTCGGCACCTCTGCTTCGTCATCCTCTGGCCAGCATACAGGATTGAAGGCAACATGTTTCCGATACGTGGTGCAGGGGAAGAGTTATGTTGCAAGATGAGGATCTGGATCTGCATCCCTACTAGTAGAAATAGTATCTATTATTTCTTCATCTATTGCTATTCCTATTTACAAATAGTACTGATCATTCTTGTGTTTGATTGTGGTCGTTATTTGGATAACTTGATGTTGATCGATATCAAGAAGCGATTGGGTACCCTAACCCGCGATCGCTTGATGTTCTCGATCGATATCAAGAAGCGATTGGGTACCCTACCCCGCGATTCGGGACACTACTACTAATACTACTAAGAAGGGCCTGTGAGAATTCTTTACGACCTCGTCAGCACCTCAACACAGGTTTTCATCACGAGCACTACGTACTACAGAGACCTCCTAACTCGTCCTCTAAGGCCAACCCGCCCTCCTGGTCGGCGGTGGCGAAAAGACCAAGCAAATGGGTCTCGGCGATGTCTCCATAGACTGTGCGGAAGACAGCTTTTTGCAGTTCATGCTGAAACAAAGGGTGCAGATGTACTCAAATTACCACTGCGACAATCCCTCAGTAAAAGCGCTAGCGCCAGCAGTCGAAAGCAATGCAGACTTCTTGACGGAATTTCAAGAATGGCTCAGTGTACTTGATGTTCTTCTGCTTGAGCTTGATTGTATTAGGAGTTAAGTACACTCTTCTGCTTGAGTTTGATTGTATTAGGAGTTACACTTAGAAGTCCCAGAGGTTCTTCCATTTATTTTAAGACGTTGTCAGCCCGTTTCAATGCTTGCTTCGATTTTGCCTATCATCTGCACAACGACAACATATTGATGTTATCACCAGTACGAAAGCGTTCCGGGCCAAGCGTGGGAAAAGTCGTATCCGGATCTCTATGTCTTCTATTTTACCGGTTGTGCAGATGAAAGGGGAGACATAATAGTGGGAGGATCACAAGGTATAATCACGTCGGAAGATGTCTTAGGTCACGTAACGGCGTTGTTTGAGTTTGCGCAGGACCAACAGTCGTATTATAACCTTGTCTACTTCAATAGCTCTCCAAAACCTACCTCTTGTCAGGCATATCAATCAATCAATCAACTTCATCCCAGACGTAAGAAAAATTCAAATGTTCTCTCTACACCTGGGAACACCAGCACTTGCATCTCAATATCAACATACTGTCTCCTAATACTACCAAGGTTCTCCAAGCAAGGGATCACCTTCGAAAAAATCTAGTGGGGCAAAAGAGCAGACGATCTCATTGTTGGACATAGAGCGAGCATGGGAGGACTTTAAAGCAGCAAATTTGGTCCGGGTTCTGTCCTACGAAGAGTATCGGGACACCTACTACACGAAAAGCAAGCCACCAATGACGAGAGCACAGCTAGAGAAAGACTTGAATTCGGCGCCCATGGGACAAGTGCAGCCACTGCTGTGGATAATACTCGACTCTGACAACAGCAATCAGTGGGTCGACTATGGCTACTCGAGAAATTTCAGGGACATCGTCATACAAGGTAAGTGAATTTGAATGTTGTAAAAAGCTCTGTGTTGTGTGTTGTAAGTAACAATTACTTAGACTATTAATTTCGTGTTAAGGTTAAGGTCAGGAGCGAATACTTAACAGTTGTAACAGCGACATCCCATCCCAGGTTTCACCGACAGTGCGACCGCACCTCTGCACGTAGTCGTCAAAGCTTGGGGTCAACTCCAAGACGGATCCATTGACAACCGACAATTTGGGTCCTTCCTGAAGGCGATGGGAGGCTCTTGGCATTCACCCAAGGTATACGCAATGCCAGGGTTCAAGTTTCCAGCATGGAGCGTTCCGGAATTCGAAGAGCTGTTCGAAATGCTAGTCCACAAAAGTACCGACAAGAAGAAAAGTTGGATCTTCGAGAGGAAAGACGATCCGACGAAGCCGTCGGGTTATTCTCTTGTGCCTAAGTATTTTCAATTTGATTATTTGAGTCTTTATTATTTTCTCCTCGTAGTTCTCCTGATTTCTTCTAGCGAGGATATCGCTATCCACATGCATTGGATTTTTTTCATGCAGCTTAGTTATCCACGAGATGTAGAAAGACAAAGAAGTGGAAAGTAGAAGTAGATCAAGATGACTGTCACCTCAATGTACTCGAACAAGAAGTCTATTTGAACAAGAATTCTATTCCAAATCCATCAGGGAACAGCCAGTGACGATGTATCAGATTCAGCTTGCGCAGGGTCGAAAACAGGTTTTGGCACAGAGTTTCTCAGTTTTGCAAGCAGAGGTGGAGGAAGCGATACACGCTTTAGACAATTTGAGGCTACTCTTTGCGGATGGAGATATGAGGCCAAGTACTGCTTCGAATTATATGCCCTTTTTATTTGTTGTTGAATTTATTACTTGATGAAGTGTGTCTTGGTATGCTCCTCCATGTCCAGACAACCTACTGCGGAGTATCGATAAAATTCACTCTATATGTGTACTACTCCTCCTAGTCCTACCACCATTTTCATCGACTCTTCGAATAGATCGGCATCCTTCCTTCCACTTCCAATCACACCAGACAAAGATAACCGCAATAACATATCAACGCTTCAAGCGCAGGATAGCGCTTTCTGTGCGGAAAAGCTCCTTTTCGTCCTCCATACCCTGAAGATATACCTCTACACACCTAGAGTGTGCACCTCAGCTTTACGAGCTCTGTGGGCATTGACCTACTCAGAGGAAGTGAGGAGTGAGTTGCTCAGTCCTGTCGTAGTCCAGCTCCTGCTGAAAGTGACGGGTCTGCACATCCACGACCCAGTCATATGTCTCTATGCGACTGGGGTACTACTCTCGTAGCTTTATAGCATTTCTTTTTCTTTGTCCTTATAAGAATATAAGCTTAATATCATCATGATAATTTCGCTCGTCTGCTTCTGCAGGATATCTTCAACCAAATCTTCTTGCTCCTGCCCCTCTACCTTCACGTCCTGGACGTTCTTCTAGTTCATCCTCGTCATCCTTCTTCTGCCACACCAGGTAATAAGCCGTTGCGCTTGGAACTTAAAGATATGGCGAGCCAACGGTAAAATCCTGAACAATGCTTGGAACCGACTGTTAGAGTTTTTACTGCTTCATCCTGCAGAAGAGGAGCTCGTGCGCCTAGTCGGCGTTTCGCTCTCAGCCTTAAGTGTCGAGAAGGGCAAGGACGCCTTTGGGTTCGTCTTTCCGGTTATGTGCGACTTGATAGAGTTCTATCTCGGAAACGCAGACACGTTGTACTCACTACTGGGATGCGTGTTGCAGATAGTAGCAAGCAACGTCCCGAGTTCACCAGACGACTGCCTGAGGGTTTTTGCTTTGTTTTTATGGACGACTGGATGGAACGAATGGTCGTCTGTGTGGTCATGGCGAAGATAGCGATAGCACAATTCCTCATGATCCTGAAATGTGAGTATAATATTTTGTCGTGATGATCAAGAACGTGAAGTAGATAGTCCACTTCAAGAACATTGCATGATCATGATCTGATATTATCAGATTTATAAGAAATCAACAATCTACTACAGGAGCACTTATTGCTCTACTCGTCCCGTCTCCCACAGCACCTTGCTTCTTCTAATGTATCTCCAAGTCCTCGAGAAGCATCCGCATAACAGCCAGATGTGTCGCCAGTGCGCTCTAGGCTTCATCAAGCTCTCGACGAATGACCGGCCGAAGAACATTCTGCTACAGACTCCGCAGCTTTTCACGTTGTTTCTCACGTTGCTGACCCAGGCCTTGCAGAACTTCCTCAAGAAAGACCCTTACGTCATCTGGCAATTGATCTCTTGCTTGTTGAACTTTCTGAAGTCCAACCCCGCACAGACGAAGAAACTGCTGTTCACCCATCCAAAGTGTCGCATAATCCACGACTGCGCTAGAGACTTCGTAGAAGATGAGCAGGATTATAATGGAGGCGGCGAGTACGCAGAAATCCTGAAGCAACAGGTGCGAGACTTCTTGAAGATCTTCCAATCTGAGAAATCTTTGATGCGGCAGCTAAGGATAGCGGAGAAGAGGAAAGAGAAATTATAGGCCGAGGTCTGGATTTCTGAGATGATGATCTTCATCTTGACTACACAGACTAACAACATACATGCTTGAGTAGATTTCGATTTTGTCATAGAAGACCACTTTTTACCCCGTGGAAACAAGTGCGACTTCTTTGTTGTAACATTTTTGTGCCTGCATTCAACTCAAAGAACTCAATATCATTTATGACTCTGACACTAAAAATCGTTCCTAGCGGTACAACAAAACGGTTTTGCTGGTCTTGATTTACCTAATCATTTCTGTCTGAGAACACCTTGATGTATTTTGTGCCTATTGGGTAGTCTAACGAACCTCGTGGTCTAATATGACTCTTCATCATCATTATGTTAATCAATGCAACGTCACCATGCTTCACCAGCGTGGTCATCTGTAGTTATGTTAATCAATGCAAATAACAAGTTATATTTTGAGTTTTCTTGCTTGTCTGTCTGTCATACCATGGTGGAATGGATCGATCGTGCCATTAGAGAAATGCAAATATTTCACGTAGAGGTGCGGCAGTCGCAGCTGCGGGGAGGCCGAAAAAAAACGGTGCCCTGCGGATGCAAACTGACTGATTGATTGCTTGATACTTCAAGACATAGGATTGGAAGATGCGTAGATGAACCGCGAAGAGGAAAGAAGATCATGGTGACAAAGACTGAATTAAAGTTTCATCACAAGAAAGATCTCCATCTCAGCAAGAATGTGTTCCAAACCCTAAGTTGTTCTCCGCACGAAATTGAAATGGAAAAAAGGTGAACCTGTAACGGAGATCCTCTATCACGAATTTAAGAATCTGCAGCACCACTTCTTTTGTGTCTACTATGCTGAAAATGATAAGTATATCTAGTGTACTAGTACTTAGTTTGTCATTCTTTATCTTTATCAACAACATGATTCCACTCGAAGATCTTCCACAAATCTGAAAAAAAAGGTGACGAAAGGAGGTCTTTTGTTGCAAATTGACAAGAACATCACAGGAGCTCGTTGCTCGGCCTCAATAAAGAAAAAGTGAAGACGAGATCAAGAATACGACCACCATGAAACAAATTGAATTTTTTATGACCATCATATAAACAAGAAGTAGATAATTTTTCATGCTTCATCATCGCTCTGCTGACATCTATCTTTTTACCAGGACTCTACTTCTACGCGTTTCTCTTCATGATACTATCTAATACTATATCGTGAAGATCAACTTTTTCGCCTAGAGCTCAACGACCAAAATAGTTGGACCATAATAGTTTTAGAGGTTACAACCAAAACAAATCGCAAAAATGGATGACCAACATTCAGTCGAGGAAAGAAACGCCCAAGAGGTGATGGCGATTCTCAAGCAGCAGAAGGAGCAGAAGAAGATGATGCAAGATAAGAAGAAGGAAAAGGAAGTGAAAGTAAAGGGAAAAATCAATACCACAGGAAACCGGTCCAAACGCGCAGGCTTGATGTTCCCGGTAGGCATGATCGAGAGAAAACTGGTACCACTACTAAAATTTGATGCAGTGATGCAGAGGAACACATATTAGCGAAACGACAGATTCTCATGCTGCAAAAACAAAATCATCATTCAACAAAATCATCATTCAAATTTTTTCCTATATCCTTCAAGATCATCGAACCATGTACTTTTCCATTAAAAATCCACCTTTCAATTATTTATAAAACCCGATAAATAATTATCCCCTATTACAATCACAGAAAGAGATGGGTGTCGCTAAGCGTGTCGGTAGCGGAGCATCCGTATATCTCGCTGCTGTGCTCGAGTATTTGACCGCAGAAGTCTTGGAGTTGGCTGGCAACATTACGCAGAGAAACAAGAAGACCCGAATTTTACCGCGTCACATTCAGCTTTCGGTAATATAAGTCTGCTTTATGTACTAGTGTACTTAGAGGCGGTGTCCAGTACCTCCTTAACCTTAACCTTGATATCATCGTTATTCGACCAATTCTTCTGGATTTTATCCTAGTGAACTCGAATATTTCCTTTTTCAAAATCACAAACAAACGACATCATCTACCATCACAAAATCTTCATCAACCAAAATTAGATCCACGAGGACGAGGAGCTTGAGAAATACTTGGGTAACACGACCATCGCGGCAGGTGGTGTCCTTCCTGGTATCCCTTCGGTCTTGCTTCCGGGAGGTGGTAAGCAAAACAAGAACGGAAAAGCTGATGCCTAACTAAGTTCAAAAATTCAAAAAATAGGAGAAGGAGATACTCGGAGGAGATCTAAAGACGGCGGAGATCTAAAGTTTTACAGTTTTTTTACGGATTCACTGACTTCTTATCCAGTTCCTCCTGTTCCAGACTAAAAACAGCACAACAAGTACAACATCATCTTTAACATTATCGATTCAAGCAGAAGCATCAAGATTTTTAGCATTACTTAGCAACAACTAAACAATTATAAGTACAAAGTCAAAGATAGAGGAAGAGTAGGAAATTTGAAGATGCGCAGTACCAGACGAAGGAGGAGGCGATGATACTACCGGATGAGGCGAAAGGAAGTGTCAAAGTCAAATATAACGGAGAAATGCTTCTGCGATGCTTCTAGCATGTGTGTCATAATACTAGAATATTTCCAGGAGACGAAGAACAACACGATCTTATTAGACAAGCTCGCTGTGGTAAAGCCCACCGGGAGCCGTTACAAGAAGACGCGAAATCGTTCATGAGAGATTGGAGACTGAAAATTCTTCTCGATACGATCATAGACTCAGATGTGTATCATGACAACACGTTGATTGAAAACAGCTGGCAGCTTCGCTTTTCGTTGCCGCAGCGCTGCCGGAGAAAATTGGCATGCACTTGTTATGGGAGTCGTTCACGTGTTCGCCATGATCAACATTGTTCACTTACCTGCATGCACAAATCATTTTCTTCTCCCTGACCTTGTCGACTAGCTGTTCAGGTGCAAGGATACCTTGATTCAAATATTTCATTCAAAATTCAGCGTTGAAGTAGAAGAAGAATGATGACCACCATGCGCATGCAATACCAATATACCTGAAAACAAGAGATGAGTGCTACCCTGCTCGTCCGACAGAATTGCTTTTGGTCCAGAATGAGGCTCACATGATCGTTGGATATCGTTGCATCGAGGAAGGTTCTAAGTCAGAAAATTCCGTAAGTGAGTAAGGTGCACGTGGATCCGTCTTTAAACCCACTAGTAGTAGTTGAAGAAAAAAATCAGTCTTTAAACCCACTACCAGACGGAACGCGCTTCTTGTGTCATTATAACTGACTCGCAGTGATTATTCCGATCGGATGGACGAGTCAGTTCTTCATTAACCTATTATCGTGGAATGTGGTTTTGAATATCGCCAATGAATAGGATGAAGCCTTCTTCAATCAATTTTCAGAATTAGCACTCAAGAGGATGATCGCCTTACCACCTCCCCTCGGAGCTATAGGGGGCTCTGCTAGCTCCACACGCGCGATCGCCGATCAAGATGGATCTACTTCTGGAGGACAAGAAAAATTGCGAAAAGACGAGCGATATAAAAACGGATCCAACTCGACGACAGAAACCCTCCTATACCCTCCAATCGACGAGTCAGAGGAGGAGCTTGTACTCCTAGAGGTTCCCGAATTCAATGAAACGGAGTTTCGCGCAGACAGTCTACGACTCGATTTGGAGAAGAATTTACTACACTTCGACGACCGAATATCGTTGGATGCAGTGGAGACCGTGAGTCCTTATAGTCTTCTCTGCTTTGGGACGCAGGGATTCGATCTCAGTTCTAGACCGGAGAACAGGTGGTCAAATCTGCAGACAAGGACAGGAACTCACGACATTTGGGCGAGGGAACCACCTGCATCGTCTAGTAGTGGAGCGACGGCGGCGTCGGCGAACAATACGACGAACGATACATCAGCAGGTGCTGGAAGTTCTTCTTCTAGTTGTAAACCAGCAGAAGCAGGTCGTGCAGCAGCTCCAATAGCGCTAGGGCCAGGACCCCCATCAGGTCGTGGGGGAGCTGGAGCAGCGGAGCCTGGACCTAAGGTTGATCCACCTACGGGTAACACAGGAGAAGGAGGAGACCCTCAAGCGCCTCCTTCAACTGGTAAAACGAATTTTGTAGGCATTGTGAGAAGAATAATCAAAGCAAGAACAATGCGCTACAACCCTGATAAAGATGTGCTGGTTAAGGATGGCTTTTAACCAAGGAAGTACTAGATGTAGATCTGAAAGATGATGGAACCAAACGTATTTTATAGCAAAATCAGATGAAAGAAAGCCAGCTTCCGTGATAGGCCGTCCGTAGTGTTGGTACAAGTTCAATCTGCTTTCCTCTAAAGCAAAAAAGAAGATCATCTATCAATGAGTCATGAGTGGAAAGTGCTTCTAGTAGAAGTAGACACGACCAAATGAATCTGTTCATACGTCGTCTGTCGCGAGAGAAACAATTATGCCACAAACTGGAGACGTGACCATGAAGGATCTGTGTGCTTGTAGATGTGTCTGTAATTCAGAGTGAGGAGGACGTCGTTGATCTAAAGAGCATGATGAAGTGGTCTACGGTGTTGGAGAGAAGAAAACTCTATCTGTTGAGTTGCTGGCGCGGTCAGGTGCAAGAGAAAGGCTACCGTGTTCGCTCTATTTCGCTCTATGTCTACCTACGCTAGAGCGCTGCATAGCCACAGCCTTAGATTCTAAGAAACTTTGCACATGCTCAAATCGAACGCCAGGACTGCAAATTCTTGAGAAATGATTCCTTTTTCCCCTCAAGCTCAATCACATACATAATGACAAAAGTAACCCTTCTAAACAGTTTTACAACCCACGTATAACATTAGACGTGGACTACTTTCTTGACTGTCGCATTTTATTCGATTTTACAACCCACGTATGTTAGACGTGGACTCTTTCTTCTTGTTCAATCGTAACTGTTAGTTGTCGTAGTCCTTTCAGGACTACGTCAACGAAATTGAAAAAACCTAGGACAAGATGAAGTTCGTAGATATGATGCTATGGAACATCGCGGAGTATATTAAGGAAAAGTTTCCTGGCCAGGAGCTTATCTCCGTATGGGTGTTCCACTATGGCAATAGCAGTGATACGAGCATGCCTCTTCTCGATATGATGGAGCGGGTCGAATTTCCGGAAGACATGCTTTTCCGGGACCCCATTGCGACGTACAAAAACCCTTTGACGTTGGAAGAAGCAATGGTGGCGGCGAGATTGCAAGTGAGGAGAGTGAGCTTGGCAGACCTGGACCCGAAGGCATTTGAAGTGTGGACAACGTTTTTGGATTGGCTCTTGCGGTTCTCGATGGACCCACATCCGTGCGAAGCCGATTACTGCACGAGGATATTTTTCAACTTCTTCGACTGTTGTTTCCCGGAAGGGATAGACACGGATCGCGTGGCAGCGTGCGTTGATTTCGCAGAGGGGGACCCAGAGAAGGCGAAAGAACAGTTTGCGGCAATGTACGGGCACTTTTTCCAGTTGGAGCCGAAGCAGTGGCGTTATGGATTAGAGCACTTCGACTGCCCTTGTGCGGCGCACGCGGATTGGCTCTTTGGAATTTTGGATTGGAACGACTCTGGAATTTTGGACTACGAAGAAATCGCGATCTTGATTCCGGAGCTAAAACGGTTGCGGATCATGGCTAAGAAGGCCGACGACTTCGCGGCGGAATTGGCGAAGAATCGCGCCAAAGACGCCATGTCCCCAGGCATCGTTCAGGTGATGAGCCGTTTCGAGTTCAAGATGGCGAACTTGAGGAAACAGAACAAAAGAAAGCGGGACGCAGCGGAGCAGCTGGAAAAGTTTATCATGCAGAAGTACGGTCACAAGATGCGCGCGTGGCTGGAAATCGACAACGATCGGAGTATGCAAGTCTCCAGAATAGAGTTTATGAAGTGGTGCGCCGCTGTGGGCTTTCTTGGTGATCGAAGAGCTGCCTGGAGCTACTACGACAAGGATGAATCCGGTGATTTGTCAGTTGACGAGTGGTCTTTGGACGCGTCGATCGGAATGGGACAGTTCCAAGCGTGGTTTCGACACAGATTTTGCTGTCAAACGGAACTAGTGTTGAATTTATTCCGCTGGGAGAACCGGAAAGTGGGACACTTGACGGAGAAACAGTTCGTCGAGATCTTGATTCGCATGGACTTTCGCCCTATCTTGTCGATTGCGGGAATTTTTCCGCCATTGATAGAATTGGCGACGGAAATGCTGAAGAAGCGTGCGGCTCGAGGAAGTATTCACAACGTGGATATGGCGGCGGATGCTTGGACGAGTCGTAGATATCGAGTCGCTGACCATCTGGAACAAGTGATGTCGCAATACAACACGTCGGAGGAAGGCAAAAAAGCTGCAGAACAGCACGAACAAGAAAAGAAAAAAGGTGGAAGCTCGCTTTTAAATGCGATGAAGTCCAAGGGTTTGATGAACAAGAAGAGCGGTGGAGGAGAAGGTGCAGGATTGAGCGGTGCAGTGTCGGGTCTGATTTCGGGAGCAAAAAAGGGTGCTTCTAGTAGCTCGGCTGGTGCTGTGGTTAGTGCAGCTAAGAACAATAAGGAAAAGGACAGCAAGACTGCAGAATCTTCCGAAGAGACAAGCCAAAAAGCAAGCAGTGCAGGCAGCGAAGGAGGCTCACGACCCCAATCTGCCTCTGCTGCAGGTAGGTCAGAGAGAACATCTGAGCAGAAAGCAAACGACGATGACGATGAGACGGAAGCCCTGCTCGCTGCGGCTATGTCCAAACCCTCCTCCCACGCTCCAACGGTGTTGACCGACAAAGCTGCGGTTGACGAGGCCGTCAAGGCTGAAAAGTCCGCTGCAACCAAGAATAAAAGTGGGCGTGGAGCAGGTAGTACTGGCAGGGAAGGCTCGCATGCGAGTGCGGAGGGTGAAGAGGTTGCAGAACGACCTGCAGCGGATGTGACAGTACTAGAGGAACAAGGTGAAGAGGGTGAAAAAGAAAACGTGGTCGAGACCTCAGCAGAAGTTGCTGAACAAGATCCACTAGCAGCTCCTGTTGAGGAGATTACGCATGTTGTCGAGGAACAGGATGAAGCGCAAGTGGGTGAGAAGGAAGACGATGAACCAGATGAAGCAGCACCAGAGCAGGAGGCGGTGGGAGAGACATCTCCAGCTGTTGCAGACGAAGACGCACAGCAGGTGGACGCGGGGACAACACCACAAGTAGAGGCGGGTCCTGAAGGAGAGGCGGATGTCGCACCCGCCGGCCCGGCTGTTGTACCAGAAGTTTCGGAACAACCTGCGACTTGTTCGGAGGCTGCTGCAGAAGAAGCTCAGAGAGACGAACAACAGGTCACGGAAGAAGAAGAAGGCACAGTCGCTACTTCTCAACACGCTGCTGCATCTGAAGAGCCTCAAGAACTCAAACCAGAGGAGGAATCCGCAGTTCTTGCAGCAGACGAAAGCATTCCTGCTCCTGAGGAACCTGCAGAAGCAGCTGGGGCTGTGGACACCGAAGCTGCCTCCACACCAGTGGACGCAACTGAAGCGGCCCCAGCGGAGACTGCGGACACTGATGGTGATGAAGCTGCACCTGCCGTAGATGCAGGAGCGAAGGTGGCTGCAGATGTTCTTGTAGAGGAGACAGCTGCGCCTGCTGATGCTCAGGAGGAACAGGCAGGTGAGGATCAGCCAGAACCTGAAGAAAAGGCGCCTAGCAAGGCTATGTTTGGTCGTCGCCAAACCGTCTCTTTCGATACTGATGAGAAAGTAGCTCCAACGGAAGTCCGCGAATACCAAGTCTCGGGATCAGAGCGTGTTAGTGATGTCACCGTGAAAATTCAGGGAGCGCGCATTTTCGATAGCGACGAGGAAGAGGCACAGCGCAAAGCTTTGGAGGAAGTAGGACCAGCTGATGGGCAAAACTGCCTAGGCGCTGCTGCGGGAACGGATAAAGAAAAAACATCTGAAGATTCTTCTGAAGTGGCAGTGACAGCAGAAGGTGAAAGCCAGGCTGCAGAACAAGTAAAGGACGAAGGTGCTGAAGAAAAAAGCCCTAAAAGCTCTTCCATGAGCCCCAAAAGCAAGAAGGGTAAAAAGAAAGGTTCTCAAACTGAGTCTCGTTCGCTTGTTGACTCTTCTTTCGACGCTGGGATGCAGGAGCATTTAGCAGAAGCGGAGCTCGCTGCAACTAAAGTTCAAGCCCAGATTCGTGGCAGACGCGATCGGCGACGCGCTAACCAGATCAAAGAGGAGAAGAAGAAAATCAAGGGAGGCAAAGGGGAGCCTACAACGACGGTCGCAGCGTCTGTCGGTTTGTCTGGAGACTACGTTTCTCCTTTCGCCTTGGGCGGAGCAGGCACGATGGTCGACCCAGTGGCGACGCCTCCGAACTCAGAGCAAACGCATAAGGCCCCTCTCCCAGTAGTCCCGGATGCTCAGGTGGCTCAAGTTGTCCGCAGTGGCAAAGAATTATGGGCCAAACTGCAGACTGCTCGTTGCAGTGGCATCCTCAAAGGCCCCGTCGAATATCGGAAGTTGAATGCTACGAATCGTGGCGTCGCTGCGCTGCTCAAAGCCGCTTGGAAGAAGGAGGTCGAAAGGGCGGATAAAGAGCTGGCTGGGATCACCAAATTGAAAAACTTGAGTTCTGGGAGAAAATTGCTCTTTTGGGCACCTCGATACGAGGATGCTGGACGCGAGGTGGATGGCGACAAATTGGTCTACGAGATGCATCGTGAAGTCGCTGAAATCGTGATCCAGCACTCCAACCTACCCGATGAGTTCCCAGACGAAGAAGCCGAGCAGCGGGAAATTCAACGCTTAACCGCTGAGTTACTCGCTTTCTCTTCCCCCTTCACCGTCTATCTAGAACAAAGAAAGAAGTTCTTTTGCGAGCTGTTCTTCTCCGTTGGTGCAGATGCTAAGGGTGATAGGTTTCTGTATCCCCACGATTTGCACTGGCTCAAGTACTGGACCCCGCGACCTTGGTTGGTCTCTTTGCCGAACTTCGAGGATGCGGAAGACTTGAAAGCGTGTCTGCGAGAGGAAAACTTCGGGAACGACCTCGCGGTGTGGAAAGCCATGGACGCCGACGCTTCCAACAAGGTGACCTGGCCAGAGATTGAAGAATCCCTAAACGCCATCCGCTGGCCGGACTGCGATCGCAGGCTGCCAGGTGCTTGGCGTGCCTTGGATACGCATCGACGTGGCTTTATCACGTTACACGACTTTTCTCCGAAGACAGTGGAGTTGCTGCAACCCTTCTTCCAGTGGGTCCACAGCCGCTTTCGGAGTTACG